TGGATCTCGAGTATTCTCACAAGCGAACCGCACTGAATGATAATAACAATAATGCTCGTCGAGACTAAATTCGGAAACACCAGTTGGACCGATGCACGCCGATCGCGAGACAAGAGCTTTGCCCCTTAGAAGATTCCGCAGGCAGGGTTGCTTGCCGCGTGGATACTAGATGAATACTGAGGCACGTCAACGGGCACAGGGATTTAACCCCCTTCCTACGTGTGCCTCTCATCCCTCTTTCGGCCCCGCTACCACCACTCCGCTCCGCTCTCCCATCAAACGCGCATCCACCCACGCAACTGTTGCGCCCCCGCCCATTAGCGATCGTCCCTTAGCATTTTGCAACTCCTTAACCGCCCCCGTGCGCTTTCGCCGAACGCGTGCTGATGATCCAGTCACGTGGGATCGATCGATCGAAATTGCACGAGCGTCGCTGCCGCGGAAAGGTTCGAGTAACACCGTCGGAATCCCAGACGTAGGCATTCCCTTCGCTGAGTAACAAGCGTCGGCCATCAATCCTCCAAGTATCGACGGGCTATTCGTGAAATATTTCTTGTCTGAGAGATCGGATCATGTGTAAAACACCCTTTCATAAAACAGCTTTCTGCAACGGAATTTCTGATGTTCGTATGTGGTTTTGATGAAACTATGTATTTCTCATTACTCATTTACTGGGACATCAGCAGTATTAGGGGATGCGCTGTCGAGGCTCCGATGGTCTAGGCGTAGGAGACTCACTTTTGCTCCCCTGGCACATTGATACTGTAAGGCAGATATCTAGTGGACAATGTCAGTCCACCCCTATCATTAATTGGATTACTGGAGACTTGCCTTCGATGAGATCATGACTAGGTTCCCAACAATGTTACTCTTCTAGCTCTTCCAAGTCTGGAATAGTTGGCTAACCTCAAGAATCTCTCGTGATACTTGGTTTTTACAGATTGGACATGTCGTCGATGAAAATTAGACTGTCTTTTTTATTGGTAGCTCTAGGATTTCATCAGCGCTACGCCAAGGAGTACTATTTTATCGTTTATAATTCTTTGTCTCCATAGTCTGGGCAAATGCATAGTCAGGATCTATGGAAACTGGATCTATCTGGAAAACTAACCCGATGGTACCATAGAGTCCTATCAATGCTACCCTCCATATCAATACTCCTAGATCTTAAATAATTAACCAACCTTAAGGATTCTCGCGTTATCATTTTTGTCACTTGAACCCCATGATCTTTATTTATTTTCGGATATAAATATATTCCACCTTCCACTAGCTAGTTGGCTAAGGTTTTTATTTCAATAGACTCGGTCTCTAAAATCCCATATACTAATAATCGAAGTTGTGGGACCGAGTTAGTGAAAAACATGTAACAGCCTGACAGATTCTGATCCACATTACCTTACTAATTCGGATAATTAATTTTCATTCCGCGCCACAGGAAGACCAGATATTATTTCCTTCGGTTGTAGCTTGGCTTAGCCGTCGTTCATAAAATTCGTCGTGACCGGACTTACCTTCCCCATTAAATCTAGGTTAATTGCAGATGCGGGAAGTGAAGGCACCCGTTCTTACCATTATATGCGTGGAATCGCATAATGCACATGTGCATGTTGTAGATTCGTAAAGAGTTCATTTTCGGTCTATAGTCGCAGCAAAATCATGTGGTCGAGGCAACTTAATTCTCATTAGACATATCCGGTACTCGAATGTATCATCACCAGTAGTACGATCTCTATGAAAATTAACATTTTTACTTATCAATTGAAAACATGAATTAGATGGGAAAATATCGTTTCAATAAATGTCACTTCTAGGAAAAGAGAAAAATTGAATTTTTCTAGAGATTTATTCAATAATTTAAATATCTCTTTTGGTTTGTCACTAGAAATTGACGAGATTCATGACGCGAAAAACAACCTTCGATGTCCCCTTAATTTTCTTCTGACTATAGTTTTGGTCACAACACATCGCGTTGCGCATCGTATTATAAACCTGACAGCTTGTGAATGCCACGCACGCGAAGAATATCTAAGGAACGTAGTATTATATCATGGGACATTCTGAAATTCGTGGAATTGCCAACAATGGGTAAAGAAAATGCGATGTGCTGTAATAACGGTGAGAATTATTTATGAAATTGTAAAAATAACAAAAAACGATATATGTGAATATTTTACTTGATATCAATTAGTATACTGATATAAAAAATTTACCAAAACGATCCCTAACGGATTTCGATTCACTAAATTTTTGAAATTCACAAACACAATGTTAATAAACGTCCATCAACTGCTTTATTTATATGGATTTTGAAGAGTCGCAAGAAACGGAGAGGAATAGACATTCCTGAGGACAAAACGAGGAGGCGACCGCAATAATCTAGTTTCGAAGAAAGGAATGATCGACCACCCGTCGTGACACAAACCGAGGAAAATGTAAATACGAAGAAACGCTGGAAATAGAATTGCTCGGTCCGCGTAAGATGAGAATAATTTGTCTCTTGCTAATTTCGCAGCTTCGGTTAGCGTCCTTCTAAACGACTAAATCCAAAAAGTTTTAATTAACATTCCCGTGCTACGAGGATTCTGTCCGAAATAAACGAAACAGGGTGAAATGTGTAATTATTAATATGGCCATTTGTTTCCTAGAAAAATAAATTTTGAAGCATTGTTTACCCAGTATTTAACGGACTAAAACACAACGAAGAATCGAAGAAACTAATTAACTAATTTGAAAATAAAATATTACAACGTTGTAACATATCGTAAATTATTGTCATAGTTTTATACGTTCGAGAGAACCGACATTTTTTTTAGAACTGCAAACCTATGGTAAATTTCGAGATTCACTATTTTTTCAAACTGAAAATCATCAATGGTACGGGTATCAATATCGCATTGAATAACTATAGATTCGTAGTTATAAAACACCATTGTTATCGACCAAGCTTGAAGCATAAAAAATACAATTTCAATGAACGTTCGATTTGAAAGCCAAAGAAATAACTAGCGAGGGCACACTTGAAATTGATTGAATTTTCCGTTGTACAAGAATAGTCACTAAATGCAATATCTAGCAGGCACAGCAAACCTGTGAGAATATTGCGCCGATTGTTTTTTAGTACGATATTGAAACCGTTTCCACAACGTGCTGGACAATTTCCATTTTTTTCGAAACAATCGTTCTTTAATACTACTGCTATTAAACAGGATTGACTAGATAGTGTTTCTCATTGATTTACACGAGCCAAATATTAATCTTCATTAAACTCAATCTACAGTTTCCAGTTCAAATTTGAGTGGACCTTGACACAAAGAATAAAATATATTTTTCAGAGAAAATGATAATTTTTAATTTGAAAACCAGTTGATAAAATCAATGTTCCACAAAATCAGCATCCATTTTCCCAATAATTAGAAGAAATATTGAAAATCCCTTATTACATTGCTCGGAGCAATTGCCCAAACCGCAGGCAAGAAACATCAAATAATCGAAAGAAATCTCGAGCAGATTTGTCACAAAGCATCGTAACCAGACAAACACAGGGGGATGAACAATCATATTAGACGAAGACGTTACGAAGTTTGAGTGCTTACTCTCGACGGGGTGCGGTAATCGCATTATCAAGAACTTCTTCGTGAAACGAAGTGGCCACCGGGAAAGGAGGGTTCGAATATAGGTTAAGTCTTTTACACAGTGGCCCGGCAGTCCGAACAAGCAAGAAAGTTAGCAGAAAACACCTGAGTCACTGCCTAAAGGGTCAAAATTTCTAGTGGTCTACGTACTACACCTGTTTTTCGTTCAAAGAACTTGCAAACACCATGTACTATTCATAGCTACTTCGTTCACAGTGTTCTTTTACGTTATGTGCACCGCGTATATTGGAAACTGCGATGTGATCGAACAAGATGACACCTGATACAAGTTCAATATAAAAATATAATGTAGACTTTCCTCGCGCGAGACTTCGTTTACGAGAAAATCATTTGAAACGACGTGTCTGGTCTATGCTGGATGATTCTACTTATTGGTTCTGCAATAATCGTATAGCAGAGAGATAAAAATATTTCTTTGCGTCACATATAAATCACATATAAATCCTACGTTGGTGGGGTTTACGTAGATTCAGAAATTCAAAAATGAAATGTTTAGAATGAGCGTCGAAGGGAAATACTTTTCCTTTGTTAGAAACTTCGCACAATTTTGAGGACTTGAGAAGAGAAAGAAATTCGTTCAAAATGTCTAATTTTGTGTGGCCATCAGTATTTCGTGTACCAAAAATCAGTAGAATCTATAATTTAATAACGACCAAACCAGAAAACTAACTAAATTATACTAATTAAGTTGCAATACCAGATTTAAAGTGGACTACATAAGAATTTCACTTAATTTAATTATATCTAGATTATACTTGTAGGAAATAGGACTAGATACGGATTGGTCTAGATGAGACTATGAGATTAGGATTAACACCTTGAATGTCGCACGATTTCATAGAGCAAAACGCATAAAATGGAAAAAAAGAATACTTAATCATTCGATTGAATTGCATTATTATTATTTCATGTTCATCTGGCCAAAATGTCACCGCATTAGGTAGCATTATTTATAATACAGATATGTTTTCAAATAATTATCGTTTAATTAAGTGAACTATGGTAACTGGAGACCCCATGGGATTCAACGTGTTAATAACACTTACGCATGTTTCGCCGAAACAGTGTTACACTTTCACATGATCGATAAGGTGAAAAAAAGCGCGCGCATATGTGCACGCGCGTAATTCATCGGTTAGGGTCGATTTAGCCGTGAGAAGAATAACATACGTGCCATTGTACCCGGCAGCATTTCCCTTATTTGTATGCTGCGAGGAAGAGCATGATAGGAGCCAATGGAGAAATCACAAAAGAACCGTGCAGATAAGTCACGTTCACCTTGACGGACTTTCGGCCCGGTATATAAAAGAAACGTGCACCTTGTTCGTGGCACAGTCACAGTTAAACCGTACAAAATGTCTTGTTCGATTTTCATTCTCTTCGCGGCCCTGGCACTGCTTCAGGCCGCTTCTGCCATCGACGTTTCCAAGTACAAGAACGTACGCCTGGATTTTGGCGACAATGACATTGTGCCGAAAACAAAACTGGTGAGCGATCTTCCTTTGATTTTCTAATGAACGAATCGAAATGTATCTGCTCGTTATGGATTTCTATATTACGTTTAATATCTTGTAATGTACTTTTTTATGATTAATGGATTTAGATGATTAATTCTTGTAATTTACTTTTTTATGATTACTGGAAGAATTTGATACGCTTATCATGTAAATGAACAGAACACGTTAAGTAATTTGGTAGTTATAATCTTTTTACATTGTACTAATTATTAAACCTTTGCACTCGAGAGATGACTCTTAGTCACTATTGGCTTTGATGTACCAAAATTGATAAAGTCTTACGCAGAATATTAAGTTTCGTATAATCTACAAATATGTGAAATATTGAAGCAATAACTTCGATAACTATGATTTTAGCTCGTGTAAGATTTTATATTACAATTGTTTTATTGCATGCTTAATTACATTTAAAAAATTGATCTTTTAACATTGCATTATTAAGGTAATCAAAATCAATAGCTGCAATCATGTATTATATAAAATTTTAAGGGAAGCTCAATATTCAAAATTTATGAAGTCATATATGATATAACGATTGAACACACTGTGCTTGATAATACAGTTAAATGAACATTAAATATTTATTCGGAATACTGGGTAAATGAATGAATAATAGCCTCAATGAAAATTGCATACTTTGAAGCGATGTAACGAATAATATTCTTATGCTATTCACGCAACGTTCCGTAAATAATTTTCATATCGGCGGTGTACCCCTTTCGTTGTTCTGCTGTTTATTAATACGAATAATGTTGCTTTTATTACAGCTTGGCGCTGGAGAAGAACGCGTGCCGGCATTCATTGGAGATTTAACGCTTGGCCAACGGTATGCAGACGAAACTGTTTTCCAACGAATTGTTGAATTCGAGAATCCCACGAACACGGTTCAGTCTACCACGTTCAACCTCTCCGTTTCCAGTGGTAAATTCTCTTATTATTATACGAACATTTCCTCCTTTTTACAAGTAATATTAACACTAGATTTACGGAACGCGTCATTTTGACGTACATATATTGAATTTTATAAAGCTTATTTGGCAAATGATAAAGTCGATTTTGGTTGAAGCAATTACACGAGTATATACCTTATATAAACATCAATTTATATAGAAATGCAATCCATACATTTACTATGGTATAGCGTTCCATATTTAATGTCATTTCACTAGCAGTGAATCATTCTTAATTGAACAATCTATTAAACGAGTAATTGAAAAATGTTCCATTAGTGAATTTTTGGAATTATTTTCAGACGTGAGTATGTATGAATCTTCTGCAAATTTTTTTTCTCTTTTACCATTTAATATCAAAACACATGTGCATCACGTAATAGGACGTTCGTATAAAACACAAATAAGTTGTACAAAATTATATTTATGATGATGAATATTAGTAATTATTAATATTAGCAATAATAGTAGTGAGTGTTAATTATAATTATTTTAATCCTTGTCGTTTACAAAGTGCAAATGTTCAATATGATGAAGTGATTGTGACGATTCTTTCACAGGTGTGATACACTACGTCAGCGCGAAGAATTCCCAAGGTAGTTACAGCGTAATTTGTGGCCCATCCAACCTGGGGACGCCCCAGACGAGCATCAACGTGCGAGTACCACCTACTTCGACAACTGTGATAAGAATGACCATTGCGGCGCACAGTCAATTTTTACGTTCTAAGTAAATTCCTCACTACACGAACTTAATTAAACTGACTTAGATGGCGTTGTTGATTAGGATTATACGAAAAGAAATGATCAATTTAGAATGTACTTTTAATGTAAAATATATATTGAAATCTTTAAACGGTTGAAAAATATTCTGTAAGCGCAATATAAAATGCAATAAACGAAATACTTCGTCATTACTCTTCTGATTTGAATTTCATAATATATTCCGTCTAAGGCCACGCAAATGCTAAACACTTTGAAACAATTAAACCGCACTTTACAGTTCTTATAGTAATTACATTAAATAATTGTTGATGTGAGTATTTGCCGTGCGTAATTAGCGTTGCGTAATGAGCACCCGAACAATTCCGCAAACAAATCACGTTCAACGCACGCAGCACGCGCCCGCGATTGTATGCGTAACAGGTGACCACCTGACAAATAAAAATTTCACGAATGCCATTTTCATCGTGTCGCTTCACCGCGAAGTTTCTTTTTCTTCTGTATCTCTAAATATCGATGATTCATGAATACAACGCTGGAGTAGAAACCATATTCAATCAACCATAAATCGTGCGAACAATAACAGAAGAAATAAATGTTACTTTCAAATTTAAATACAAATGATATTCTTCATTATTTACGATGGTAATAGAACATGAAAATTTTCGTTAAGAACTGGAATCATAACACCGTATATAAATATTTCTTTCACAAATCTTTGCTATATTTAGTCCGTTATTTACCAAATAATAAAACTTGACCGCGTTCAATTTGTTTAATTGAACAGTGATATATTAACCAGTTAACTGTGTTTGACGTGTACACAGATCATTTTCTCATTTTATTGCGCGCAAAACGAGAGATCTTTTAAACTAAATTCCACAGTTAACAGGTTAACAACGAAAGTTTAATTAAGTGTATATTAATCAATAAATTCACTGTTTGTATTGTTGAAAAGATGAGTTTATTTAGTATTTTGCTTTTATACCAGTACAAAACGAAACAACGAAACAATTTTCATTTGTTCTACGCAAAAGTACAAATCCTTTGTAGCGAGAAAACGACAACGACCAGGCGAACAGCGATAAGAATCCGCAAGTGGTGTGGCCAGGGTTCAACAGAATCCGCTAGACTGTTATTACGGAAATAAACCCGTCAGTAAATTACTTCTCTTTACAGGCGATATCTCAATTCGAATGGTTTACTTCTGACAGCGTCTTTCGATATTCATGCCAATCGTCGAACGACCAATCTGCAAACCTAATGACTAATTGAGTTTCGAAGTAAGAAAACAAGCGTGGTTTTCTTTTCTAATAGGTTTTGATGAAATCATATATAAAAACCATTGCAGATTTTCCAAAAATATTTCTTCAGCCAAATCATTTAATATCAGACAATGTATTCTTCGAGGAATTCAAATTATTTATTGTAGAATACCTATATCTTCAACAATCGTGGTTAATTAACCCTTTGAGATTAACCTATGTACGCACATATGTCCTTTTTATTACCTGCCACGTTGACAATTATAAATGTATGAGATAAGTATACACCTTTCTTAGAATTATTCAATTTGGAAAAACTGAATAATTACGATTGCAATTTGATTACGCCTTGTGTGAATTAATAGAATCCATCGATCTCCAGGCAGCAAGCAAAGCGAACAAATATTTCGTTCACTCCCAGTATCGGTTGGCAGTATTCAGTACTCAAAGGGTTAAGGAAAAGAAAACAGTTGAAGAAAGCAAAAGGAGCAGCTTGCAATCGTGACATGCGACGATATGAATCATTGGGTTTCGTAACTGACAGTGAAACTTACAAAAATAGGAACATTCGGAGCCGACAATTTTTCAGCAATTTTCACTGAGTATCAGTCATTGTCAGGTAGCGTCATATAATCATTTCTCGTTACCCTATAAAATACTCCCGGCATCGTGATTCCGACCAAATACAGGACAAATGGAACGAAAAATGTGGCACGGTGCAAGAGTTCCGAAGAGACCCTTGACCGCCTGTACATAGATGCCACGTTAGTTACAAGCGACCCAGAAATTTCTCAACGAAACGGCCAATAAAATGTGCCCCTTGACCGTAAGCAAAGCTTTTCAACCGTTGACCGAAGAATTTCGCTTTTTGTGAAAAAAAAAGGATGGAACTCGTGTCCGGCGGAAGGCGCTTCGGGAACAGGTGTTTCAAAGTTGCGTAAGACGAACATAATTAACACTAAAATTACCGAGCATTTAACAGGATTGATATGCGATCTCTATAAAAACTGTAACAATACATTATTTTCAGTTTCTTCAAACATTCCTTATAATATTCAAGTGAAACTATATATTTTCAAGATAATTTCGAATACTCAATGCTTTGAAGATATCAATAATTGTGAAACAAAAAAACCGAAACCAATCATTCTGACTGATATGATAATTCTAGTGTAATAAGTACTACTCGCGAATATTGTATTTCTAACTCTAATAAATATAAATATCGATGTACCTTTGAATTGAAATAAACTGTAAAATATCGATGAATTGAAAAAATAATGAAACTATCGAGAAATTAAATATTTGAAACCTGAAATATTATATTTGTTCAATTTAAAATAATAAATGTTTGACTTCTAATTGTTCTACAGTATGTACAGATGATAATGCCAACGACACGAGTAGCAGCAAGACATTCAAATTATTTCTAAAAGAATTGTTACTAAGTTATACCCTAAAATTTGAACATTAAAAGGGTGCGCGAGCATGTGTACATGTGCGTGTAAATTTCACAGTGCAGAAACCTTTAGAAGGGTACACCAGAAATGCATTTTAAATTTTACAGCTTTATCGCTGAAACGGAGCCTGGTATAACTATATTAGAATTCAATTTCTGCGCGAAGAAAGAGCTACCCCTACCCCCACTACGATGCAGCTTAATGGAGGGTTACTCGTTCAGGTTGTCGCTCTTTCTCTGACAATTAAGTGAGACCAGCTACATTTATTATAATATCGCTGCGACTGCATTGCAGTTTACAATTTGCAACTTCTCTATTAAATAGAAAATTTTTAATATATAGTTAACCGTGGACGTGTAAAGCACGTTTCAATTCAAATATTCAACAACAGGTGTCGAAGGAATTTGTTAAAATTAGGAAATTATTAAAAAATATTACAGAAAAATCCTGAATAATTATTGTAAATGACTTCGAGCATGTTGAAGTATGCAACGTTTGAATATTGTTTAGACTATTTATTGTCGAAAATACAAATGTCAATGAACTGTGCTGGTAGAAAGACATTTCTCTTGTTTGGCTTCTCACGATAATTCGACACAGTTACTTTAGCCATCAGGTCACTGCTGGACGCTAGAAATGCTGCCGTATGGTTTCAATACGCTAGAATAATAAAAATCAATAAAAACAGTTTATTGATTACAAGTACATTTACTACATCGATATTAACGTTGATTTAAAATATTTTATACTTTACACAGAAATTTAGCGAGATTTACTGCATTGAAAAAAAACAAATTTTAGGTTAACACATCTATGCGAATAAGTGGAACAACACTTTTATATTGACGACATTCTACAATATGTGGAACATGATTGATGAAGCACCCTTTGATTTAACCAGTTCACTCCAAATGAAAAGGCATCATCGTATTTAGAAGCACACATCGATCATCGTGTACCACAATAGATTGATCGTCACCAATTATCGAAAACCTCGAAAACGGTTACCAGACATAATTGATAACGTAACAATACCACGCGAAACCTGATTCGTTAACAAAAATTCACGTTACAAATAGGGTGTTTGCAACAGAAATATAATAATCACGACAAGTACAATAATTGCAGTACAAATTTAAACAATCGCTATAGTAAATGAACAACATCAAATCGCGTTAAAAGAATTTGAATCTTCGAACGACAGGAGAGTATTGTCATTTTGATTTTCAATGTAACGTTTACATTATAAACTAATAAATATTACAAATAAATAGAGTAAAAATTAATGGAAAACTTCCGAATAAAATACGCAACTGTTCAGTGTTTAATTCAACGAAAAGAAATTTGTTTGTACATTTTTTACTTAGAAGTACAACAAGACCTTTTAGCTAATATGATATTTCGAGATTTTTACATAATTTATTACGATGCGAGAGCTTCCGCGAACCCTAGACGTAACCAAGAGAATCTCGTAATGGGCTTACCAATTCATGAAGCCCTACACGATGAGATCTACGGGAGGCGGAGGCAGAAAAACTGGCAAACAGTTGAAGACGATCGTTTCGCGCGCCAAGATACGCGAAAAGCTCCGGCTGGAAAGCTACGCTGCTCGGGAAGCTCGGAACTGTGCGGTGATTCGCTAAACTCACCCCGTGATCGAAGAAACGCTATTTTATCGCGGTGAGTCCTCTTGTGATGGAAACTCCGTTTTCAAGTCATTTAAATTCACAGTGAAGTTCATAAAGTACGCAGAACTTTCACCGTTCTATCGCCGTAAAACACGAGATATGCAAAACACGTGGCAAAATGTTGGTTAGTAATGGTACACGAATGACTTCGGATGCGTGCGTAAGAAGTGTTGCACGTCGATCTTTAACACTCTACAAGCTGAATACTTTTTTGTGACTATAACAAAATTTATGCAGTATGAAATAAACAAATATAATATCTACCTATAAATAGAAATTAAGAATGTATTCAATAGTCTTAATAATTTGATTAAAACGAATATATTTTGTAACTTTGAAGTTACAATAATGTTGAACGTATACGTCTGTATGTATAATAGTTTAATTAATTATTTAATTTCATTTGTCACTTTGCGGTAAAAAATTAAATAAATCAGTTTAATCCAGTATATTGATCTGTAACTTTAAAGTCACGTTAGCTTATAGAAGGTTAATGTAAACTTTATTTTCTCGGTGTTAACGAGCCATTAGAAGAATGGTTGGAAAATTAATAGTATTATGGAAGATATGGTTGAAAAAAATTGACGATTCTATGTAACATATCGATTAATGAAATTAGAGTTCCAAATATTGTATGATGGTCGGATCAAATGATTTATCTCAAATATTTTTCCAGTTTTGCTTATTGGATTATTATATTAAAAAAAAATGTTTGTAGCTCTTTTTTTCTTAAATGTTTTGTATTTGGTAGTTAAAGATAGATTTTACTCTCAACTGAACATTATATAGGAATCAGATTTAGTTCTGAAGAAAATTTGAGACGTTTAGACCGGATGATGGATACCAGACCACATTGTATAGATACAGACAGTCGTAATTGTTTCTTATTTAACAGCGAACTATTTTTGCCAACGGCGATCTAAGTTTTGCTCATACATTATGCGAGTTCCAGCAGAAATAATGGAAGTGGAAACTTCGGTAATTAGGGAGTCGATAGGACGGACTAAGTTTTAGGATGGAAACAAGCCTGAGACAATGGGTTCATTCTATTGTGTTCTAATCGATGGTTTACTGTCATCATGCGCCATATTTTCTAATATACTTGCTTTGAATGGACTTAACAACAGCTCCTGTGTGCCTTCAATAGTTAACGAAACAAAATGAGGCGACATCAAAACTTTTGATTAAAAATACTACGATCAAGAATAATTTCTTTTATACGAGTACAGTATCTGATCGAAAATTGAATTTCACATTAGTTTTTATACCCACATCACTTTTTACGTGAGAAACATAAAAATATAACGGTCATAAAATAAAGTGTTAAGTATTTTTCCATTATAGTTACATTTTTAAGGACTAACAACGTGATTATAGTGTGTGCACAAAATTCATATTTTCCACGCATCGTAATAAGAATCTTAAATTCTTTTAATTACGATGAATGGTGGAATATTTGTATTACTTTCTTCTGTAAGAATAGATCTCGTGAGGATTTTCTACAGCGATAGATTTGAATACTTATTAAATGGTACTTAAAGCAGAATAATAGATAGACAAACTTGAATAACTGAACGGTGGTTGGCTCAGAGATCACAAATTCGGACAAGTGCAAACGCGCATAGAAACTGTCCGCGGGTCGACTGTCTTTCACCGATAACGATTCGCTTTTCGTCTTGCCACAATTTCCTCTCCGTTCATTCGCTGGCTTCGCGTAAATGTGTCTCGGAGTCCGCGTGTAACACGTGTAAAATAGTGAGGAGTGAAATATATACCCTTACGTCGAATAAATCGCGCAGGTTATTCGAGTTCTCTGATAATTTCATTAAGCATATACTTATAATACTTCCTGAAGTGAACACGAACACAAATTTCACATAGAGAAATGTTGTTCAAGCGATCATACGCTGCAAATAATAGAAACTTGCAAAATACATCTAAATTCGTAAATAAATGTTTTAAGTAAATAAATACTTCACTGGATATATTATTCAATTATCTATAAGTAATAAAATTTAATACGCTTAATTATAATTGGAAACGAAAATTCAAAAATTATAGTATATCAATTTTGCAGAACAATAGTTCAGCAACAAAAATCTGAACGAAGAGAATATGCTATAAATTTTATTTATTTAAATCTTCAATATTGTAAACATATCGATATTGAAAAGAATCGAAATTAAAAGTTTCACAAGAAGAAAAGCGTCGGAAAAACGATACGGTGTATAGTTAGGGGGCAGAGAAAGAATATTTTCCTTGTTCCTCTACTTGTCCTAAAACCTGATGTTTGAGTGCTGCATTTTGCACGCGGCATTGTGCACACGCAAGTGAATCATGCATGTACACGTCAGATCACGGTCATCGTACTCACTCGAGCACTCGTATTTTCTTTACGTGGAGGAATGTTTGAAATATGCCTCTGTCGCTGCTTTATGCGAGCTAATGCCCGTTGATCATTCAACATTTCCCTGATCACGAGAAAAGTAGCTCCACAGAAACACGTTCCACTTTATTTAATTCGATTACGTCAAATTTGTTACTGAAACGAACGTAATAAACACTGCAAAGTTTCAATTTACATTTGTCACGCATACTGTTTTCTTTTAAAGGAAATTATTTGCTGCTTGGTAAACCAATTATTCCTGTTTTAGTTTATTTGTTAGATTTTCCAGATTATTAACGGATCGAACAATACTTTCAGATGAAATCTGCATAAAAACGATGAAGAAACGGAATAATGAGAGCAAGACAGCGAAAGGGCGACAAAACGAGAACACAGCTGCAACTGACAAAAACAGCGATAGAAAGGACGCTAAAGAAGGAACAGTTCTGCACGACGAGATAAACAATCAAGGATTTAGTGATTGGTTACGATCTAGCGATGGCATTGAAATGATGCGGCTCTTCGTCATCGCCAATTCGATTTTGGTGTTTGTGACAATGGGATGGCCTAAAATGCAAGAGGCCTTTACTCTTCTCAAAGAATATCTATACGACGAAAATTGAACTATCCAATACAAAAAAGAAGCTTCTAGAAATTTCGACGTGACAAGTACCTTCCCCATGGATTTTAACATAATGAGAAGAAACCGAGAAAGCGACTTACGTGTCAATGTTATTTAACCATCTTCAATACCTCACAAAACTTATTGTAAATACCACTCATCATTTTCAAAAACTTGTTACAAACGAAACTACAAAAATTTAATCAGTGTCCGAAGTAATCATGATTTCTCTACAAACAACTATTCATCTTCGCAATCTCTTCATTCGTAAGTCTATCAGACATTCTTTTACAAAAATCTGATCAACCCTGTCATCGATCATAATTATACATTCTCCCTGTTCAAACGATCTCTGCTTCAACTTTTAGTCTGACAACCATTAAAATTTGTGTTAAAAACTCCCAGTTTCAACATCAACATATCACTAATAAACCAGCTCTAACAAATTCAATAATTAAAAAAGAGTAAAACAAGTGTTCTAAATCTAAGTCTAAATCAGCGTCAGTCATGTTAGGGATGCTGTTCCGTGGGGTGTTCCTCGTGGGTATACTCACGTGGTACAGCACCAGCGTGTGGAAAATGATCGACGGCTACTTCAGGGATCAGTTCCGCAGCTATTTGGAGGAGGAATATCGCAAGAATCCCCGGATGAAATCGGACGTGCAGGGCGCCTCAGTCGATAAGATCGGTCCCGTAGATGCAGCGATGCCGGAAGCGACCGTGGCTCCGCCGCGAGAGATCCCCGAAGTATGCGAGCCGAGCGCGCTTTCGGTCGAAGCTGTAGAAAACCGCACAGCGGTCACCAATTCCGAGGATGTGACAGGTGGCACTAGTGAAAACGATGCTGCGAGGGGATCCACCGATAAAAATGCATTCCTGGAAACCACCGCGGAATCGGAGCTGGAAAGTAGGAAACCGCCCGGTCAGGATCAAGAATCTCGAACCAGCATTAATCACGATAATTATGAAACCGAGCATAAAGATAGTGCCGAGGATGCACTATCGATATCCCTGGCAAATAAAGAGCTCCGGAAGAAGAGCACATCTGGTACGAGATCGACCACCCCTAGGGACATTTCACAAGAACCCGAGACGCCCAAGAAACGAAGAGTGAAGACGATCACGCTGACGGAGAGGGACTTCACCTCGGTGCAGGATAACGCGAACGACGATTTCTGGGAGTTCGAGGAGGATGCGGAGGAAAGAGAGCCGTTAGAAGGCGTTTTAGTTTCCGAGTTGCCATTCAAGCCGAGGATAGATGGTATAGAGGATTTAGAGAGAATCACCACGGATGAGTACTGTCCGTTGACCTTGGAAGACGAAGCTTCTTGCGGGGAAACGGTTAAGTGGCCTTGATTGCTCGATCTGTATCGAGCAGGTACGGGGAGTGCGGTAAAAAATCAGCGGAAATTTTTATTGCCAGGTGTATAGAACGTTGGGGATGGAATTGGCGACAGACTATTGGCTGCTTGAAGGGAAAGTTGCTTCAAACATTGCCGATCGTGGTATCCGTATTTACATTTCATTGTAGTTTTACAAGATTCAATATGAAACTTAATTTGAAGAAATTCTGATTGTGTACAATTATATAAAATTGATTGCTGATAGAATAATATAATTACGGTTAAACTGCAGATTTATTAAAATTTTTAAGAGTAGGAATAAATTGTTATTTAGTCCCTGTTTCTTTACACTGTATCTAGAAATTTTGCGAGATTACATTTTATACATTCGAAATAAATATTTACATGGGTTAATTAACAGTAGAAAAGTAAGGACAATGTTAGTAAATACACTTTTCTAATTATGCTAATAGAAGATTCATCGGGACGAGAAATTGGTGGCACATTCCAAGAACTGACTGCGCCCGCATGTCGTAGGTGGTTTATGGCAGTACCTGCCGTAGTCCTAGACAATCTGTACACATTGTGCTTCGGTTCTAATTATGCAGGACATCTGAATCCTACCTGAGCTTGCGCAGCGACAGTAATAGCGTATTTACAAAAAGAAAAAAAAAATGTAAACACTAACAAAATTAAGAATAAAAATATGTCCTCTAACTCAACAATCCTATAAAAAGTAATAATAATATTGAAAAATAATAATTTACATAAAAGATACTGTCTAATTGTAATTATTATAATCATCAATTTGATTTCTTTTAAAAATCGACTTAAGCCACTGTCAAAACAAACAGTTCAATCATTAGCTGCAAATAAATTGTCCGTGTTAACTTAAGCATTTAACAATCCACGATATTCTTAATTGTCGCAATTTAAATTCAACGGAACATGTGTCATGTTCGGTAAAAGTGGTGCACTGGGCCATTACGAACGGTTGATTACCCATTGGTACACTTAATGCTCGGACGAAATAGTTCTTGCACTTTCAGCGATCGTGAGCATGCATCATCGTGCATTTATCGCTCAATTAACGTCACGGATGAGATGCACTTTCTAGCAAAATTCACGTGGCAGCGATAACATCGTCGGAATAAGGCCACGGTTCGGCGGAACGCTGCCCTTTGACCTTGGAAATGAGGCCTCATATAGGGGAAACCGACGAGTTGCCGTGAAAGTACAGTGAAATTGCGATCTATGATTTCTACACATGTACACGATTCCCATGGAAATTGAGTCCGTCGGCTAGAGGACTCGCGCGCGCGCGGACATCAAACTTTTCGCAGCTATCTCGCCGATTAGGCCCGCTTATAGTTCTTTTCGTACGATAAGTTATCGAGCTTCCGTACATTTAACATACTGTTGACCGATTAACGTCAACTGTGATACTGCAGCCTCCCGCACATCGTACGATACATCCTGAATACATTATGTTTAGGTCTGCAATTATCTCGACAATAAATTCATTCATAAATTCAAACATACTCTACGAAACTCGTTCCAATACGATGTAACCGAGAAATGTTATATAATGATAGAGAATTAATTAAATTACGAAATAATGCACTTAAAATCTACTTTATATGATACGCTTGTCGCCAATCTCCCTATCGCGCGTATTAAATAAATTCTTATTGGAAAACTATTACCTATATCGACTACAAACTACTTCCACTTTATCTAATTTCCAATTACAGTTACCCTCGTTGTAAGACTTGGTTTCTAAAAATATTTTTAATACATGATTTCTTTAGAAAATTCATATTTCAACATTCCGTATCGGATACATCAATATAATTTTAAATAAAGCGAAAGTATTACACCAAAGGAAAGTAGCCGAAGATCGATGCGTTAATCTAATGTACTCGAATTGCACCTAACTTTCATCGTTTGAATATTAATAGCGCCGATTACCGTCGGTAAACGTCACTAAACTTTCCGAGGTAAACTGCACGATATATGTAAGACCATATGTCAATGTTGTACGTTAAAACACCTATATCCTGCATGCATATGCTTAAATAAATTTACATAGCAAACATCCCGGGCAAAGCTAAAAGAAGACAAAAAAGAAGGGAATTTAATATAGCGTTATATTTTGTTTATTACAGTTGGCAGTGTGTAGTGGCGGCCTTCCTGTGTTACGCTCGTTTCACTTAAATCGACGATAGTACGTGAAGTTCGCGTCGTCGAACACACGATAGCTTCACATTATTTTCTTTCTTTTGTTTCGGGTAAAACTGTTTTCCCAGCCAACTAATGATTTACTAACCAGCAATTCAGGCGCAGCGGTCGATGCAAATTAGAGTCCGGACGACGCAGCTAGACGAGGACGCAGACGCGTATCAAGGAAATTCGCTCGTTATTGCTTAACGTTTCGAAAAAAAGAGAGACCGCCCGACACGACCTTCCCGCGGTGCGCTTCTGTACGCGGGGGGAACATGTTTAGGCGTCAATTAAAGCAAGCCACGATCGTAATTGCGCGGTTAAGTGCAAGACTGCTCGTCTTAATTGAAAACCGGAGGCAACATATTTCACGGGCCTCTTGTCTTCGTACAATAAACAGCTCACAATGGTTTCGAGCGACGCTCGACTTCTCCGTAATTTGCATAAAATGTTTCTAAATGACTGTGCACTCTTTAACTATAGACCGCTCGCGCCGACTCAATTTAAAAATAGGAAATATTATCCGACGCTTATATTACCGGAAATTGTATATTCACGTGAAATGTATTCTTGAAAAAAAAATCAAAATGCTATGTTAATTGTATTTATTATTTAGAATCTCGTAATAAATTTTACGAAGACACGCAGTTTTCACGGAAATAAAAATTTAACCGTTGCTCTTCTCCGTTGCACTAACTAAAAGTGCCTATCAGTTCGTAGTATTAAATTAAGTTTATTTATTTGTTTTCCTTTCAATTAGTTATTCTTATTTTCTATAATACCTACTTAGAAATAAATGGATCGATCAGTTTTTAAGTAAAAACTTGAAATTTTTGAAAAAGATAAACTCAGAAACTTAATGTTATTAAGAAGAGGACATTGCACAATCTAACCCTTTGCCCTATGATTTGTTTCTTAACTGTGATCGATCCAACTAGTTTATCGTTAATAATTTATTAAAAAAAAAGAAAAAAATTATTATTCTCATTCTATGCCCACGTTTACTCAAAAGGCAAAAGATTGATAATAGATAAGTAACATTTAATTTATATTTAAAAGAAGTAAATAACACTTAAAGTTTTCAAATTCAGTTTAATCAGTTAACTACGTCCGACGAGTATACACGTCATCTTAAAAGTCAAAATGATACGAATTTTTTCAGTGATGAATTATTTATTTTTTCAGATAAAGGTGTAATTCTTCTTCGTTTCGCTTTAATTTGTCGTTAGAATATGTTATAGGTGCACTTGGCTTGCGTCTGACGAGTATACACTTTATTATTTAATTTTAATGCATGCACAATGAAGGACTTTTAAAACTAAATTCCACAGTTAACAGATTAAAATCTTTATCGTGAGTCTAACACGATATTGTAAGATGACAATGGAGATGAAGAAGGTTGGAAATTGTTTGAAAAAGGTATCACGCTTTATAAAAATTAAATCTTATTATAACTTTAATAAATAAAATAAATATAAAACGTTGAATTCTACCGCTGTACATTACTTTGAATCATTTCCTTTAAAAATAAATACAAGTTTACACCCAACAACATTGAAAATAAATCAAGTGCATAGCCTTAATATGGAACACCTAAATTAAGGAAAACATATATTTATCATAAGAATACGTGAAATAAGCATCTCGATCGCGATGAATGGAGCATGAATCATTTCACGTACATATGTAATACAATATTGTAATAAATATTGCGAACACCGCGTAAATTCGCGGGTGACGCAATAAATATTTCCAGCGCAGTGGACACGCGCGTAATCGTCGGCCGCGAAGTGAAACGACCGGGTGCGAAAAATCGCGCCGTCTCGTTCGTCAATTATGCAAGACGACAACCGATGCGCGCACGTGTGTGCATCATTTTATGTATCCATGTCCATGGTCAACGTGTTACATATACGACAGGTGCAGGAAATGCGTGCCCGCCGGCCTCAAACTATGCGTTATCGGTATGCGCATTGAGAACCGAGGAATATATCCACGTCGACGTATAAATAATAAATCCATTATACCCCGCCGTACTCGGGATACGAACGTGCACGATTTTCTATATCAAGTCGCGACCGTTCCGCATCGTCTCCTTTCATTTGCGATTTTTCCACCGCGCAAACGTGTATTCTTTAATGCGCCGATTACTCGATCGGTCCGGCCATTCGTCAGAATGTCCGACGATCAAATTAGAATATTAAAAATCGAATGGGGCTACACCGCGTTTCGAAATATTTTAGCGTGTAATCAGCGAGAATGAAAATTATAAAACCTCAACATCACGCTCTTTGTTAAATTTATTGAGCATTTCGCGACTTTTTCAGCAGTTTTCGAACCTCGATGCGCACGGTTGACTCTTATTAAACGCGAGAGAGAGGAAATAGTAAATTTAAGAATGATCTAATTTTTATAGGAATTTTATGGGTCTCTTCAGATCTGAATCCTATTCCATTCGATGAGTTGCCATTTGTGTTACTGAAAGTGGTGTTTTAATAATTTCAAGAACTCTATCAGTTCTAATATTAGAGAAAAGGAATATTATAATTACACTATGAATTTTATATAATTGTACTATAAAAATTAATTTGCAAATGCAGATTTGAAAAATTTTAGAATTTTGCAGCAGAAGAAAGAAATTTTTTTATTTTCATTAAATTATCTATAGAAATGAGAATTTAATGTAGTAATAGAATTACGTAAAATATTTATGCAACCCGGAGGGATACAAGCCGAAATCTAAGATCTAGCCTAATTACGAGTCGTCTCGAGTCATTGACGCCACGGAGACGGTTTTCACCGCGTCGAAGAGAATCGGTGGCGATGTCGGTTGTCTTGTCGGGTTTGTTATGTAGCGCACACGGTACAGGAAAAGAAGGATGGGGGGAAAAAAAAACTCGCCGTGAACGGACGAAACCGTTTCCTAGATAACCGAGAAAATACACCGGCAATGGCCTCGTTACGATATCCTACGATTTCTCGCAGCCGCTTTCCGCATGCCTCGAATCGGATCGATCTTTTTCTGCTTGCCTTTCGTTGAATAATCGCATGGTGGAGGAAGCACGTAATTATGCAAATTATTTCGCCCATTATAGTAAATACACGAGCTCATAAAACAGCAATTATCGCATGGTGATAGAACAACCGATTTGTCTTTCGATCTCATAATAAGTTACATAATCGCGTTGCCCGTGATCAATAAGCATTCTATAATTAGATATTTATGCCACTGCGATAGTATATTTCCTACTGTTCTCCAACACCTTTGGAGTGTTTTTATACGAAGAAACCGTGAAAAGGTACTGTACGTATGATTTACGCTAATCACGTACTTAATACAATAGAACAGTGTATTAACGTGACTTCGGTCTGCCATTATCTAGCATCATAACAGTATTTTCGATTATAATAAAAATTCTGATTATATAAGGTAAAGTCTGCACGCTAACCGCCGACGGCATGTTAGAATGCTGGCATTAGCCGCGCTGGTCATCGAAGTATTAATCTCAGTTACTGCTGAAAAATTTTCAGAAAAATTCAAAGAAGTACTACGTTTAACGACACGAAGGTAGTAAAAACTCACCATGACGCTTTCTATATGGCATATGAGAAGAATTATAGACAGATATCAAAATAATTGCACGTATCAAGCTTCAAATTATTTTTCACCAAAGCAGCGAATTTTCTTTCCCATGAAAGAAAACATGATACGCGATTTCTGCGCAGCGAAAGGAACTTTCGTTTTCCTCTGTTTTCGTTTAAACGAATCGCAGCTCCGACGCAGCGAGAATTTAATAACCACGTTAACGCGCTGTTCAATTCTATAAGTATCGAATGATTAAAATGATTGTTCCATATTTTCTTGTACGAATTACTAGAACGTATTTATTAAGATCTTAATTCACTTATATCTTAGTTTTAGCATTATTGAATCAATGAATTTAATCCTTTCTCAGAACAATAATATAAACGTTCTGAATAGAGATAAACAGTACATAAAAAATAAACTGGATTCTTCATGTTGATCCGTCTGGTAATTCTAGCGTTAAACCCTTGCTCTATAATTTCTTTCAGAACTTTACTCGACAGAACTATTTTATTGTTTATAATTGACTGTCGAAAAAAGAGAATTTCACACTCTGCCTTTATCTATGTGTACTCTAATGATTAATAATAAATGCAATTAATAACAGAATAATATTTAATATGAAGTAAACAAAAAACTTAAAAAATAATTAAATGATATTTATGTCCGTTAAATTCTGTTTAAAATCTTCGTTATGAGACCGTCATGATATTATGCCGCTTTTACTTTCATTCGAACGTTAACGACATGCATCTCCGCGGAATGAGACTTTCTCGGTATGTATCTGACAGTTTTGGGATCGAAACGAAGAAAGTGCGCGCGATACCAACCATCGATTTCAAGGCTGACGGCACATGGAAAGTGATCTGCGTCATGGGAAACATGAAAATGGTCCATGAAACGGGAAAACGTTTAATTAGCCGAGCAGTTTGCTGGGGAAAATGTTTTCGCTTTCTTGCCGCTCATTCTTTTGTCCGGCTTTTCATCGACTATACTGAAGTACTTTGTCTACTTGATGAAGTTATTTTATTGTCTAAGCATTGTGAAACGCGCTAGAAATCTTATCTTGTCAGCGCCGGGAATACTGGAAGAACCATCTGTCCCAGTGTCGAGCGACTCGAGAATTTATAATAATTTTATTAGTGGTAGTGTGCTAATGAGAGGTGAAATACTTCGTAAACTGTCGAAATTTGTTGAAAGTATCTCATTCAATGAAATAAAGTATCTTTAGATTAATTAAGGTTTTGAATTTTGAAGAAAGGCTGTTCGTTATTGATTTGTACCAATTTATTCTATAACGATACTGTAACATTATTATTGTTATACATTTCGATAATTAAAGCGAGTTACGAAAAACATCATTTTGTCACTCACTGTTTTGAGCAGCTCATTTAAAATGTTATTACCAAAATCGAGTGAATTTATTAGGTATCATATAATCGATTATATCGGGTCAAGGTGCACGTACGGACGTGCAATTAATCAATCGGAACTTTCTCTCGTAAATCACGAAATTCACTTCTTATGTGTAATTACGTGCCATCTAGAACAATTATACCGTAATTTACACGAAAACGTGTTACAGACTCTCGCGATTGTAACTTTACCGGAGTACTTTTATGAGTAGACGCTTGTTACTACGATAAGTGTGTTTTATTCGACACTAATAAAAATAAAAATCAAATGTAATTTACTGCAGCGAAAAGTGTAAAATAAAAATTTAAGTGCCGACTCTAATTATTTTGCGCTTATTATGTTTAGTGCTATTTTATAAGTGTACAGTAAGATAGTGTACTATTTTATAAGTGTACAAAGATGAAATACACATATTTTCAACTGAGAGTAAACATTTTTAACGTTTTTCGAATTTCAGGGATTCTAAAATTATCACGTTACACAAACGTTTACGTAAGTGAATTTCTGAACCGACGAAAAAAAGAAGGAAGATACAGAAGAACGAATTTCCAATGAAATTTCCGGGACATCAGGATAAAACGCATTACAGCTTATCTGTGGTTAGTCTGGTCGGTCTGTGACACTTAATTAAATTAAAACTGGATCCCTGGAAAGTCTGACCGGCAACCTGTTGCACGTGTTCGTCGAACCAGTAACATTCTTCAATGATTCTATCGGTTATAAGACTTGCACGTATTAAACTGCAACATTACAGGCTCGATATTTATTATTATTATTCATCATAATTACACGCAGAAATACACGATCACCGCGTCGATTTTTTATAATAAAGAATGATAAATTGTACACCGATAGGAAATAATAAACATGTTGCATTGGCAACACGATATCGGGTAGGGCAAAAAAGTAAAAATAAGGAGCAGGGCCGCCTCGTGTACAACAACCTAGAGCGGAAAGCAATCAGAGTGAAAACAGGACTAACGCGACCTTTCTATTGCTTTCACGTGCCGGGGGATTGTAAACCTTGAACCGATGGGAATACTAATTTTTGGCTATTTTATAAATTATTCATATACAATGCAGCGTCAGCACGCAACGAGATTGACGACTTATGTGCACGCTTAAAAAATAGGCAGGCTGCACACTTTCGTAAACATTTAGGACTCGAGGTATTTTAATTCGGATCGACACTAATTGTTGGATACATTTCCTGCTGTGTGTCTAATTTCTAACGAAATGATCGCAATATGTACAATAATCAAATGTAATAAATAAAATATGAAAAAATGCAAAGATTAGTTTCAAAAATACATTATTCTGATTCATTATTTTTACAATAGTGAAGGTTAATACGATGATAAAAGGATTTTTGTTATTCATTATGATTATTTTTAACGAATGAGTTTTTCACTTGTTTTTTTATTACGTTTGAGACGACTGATTAGTAAACGACAAAGCAAAAATATTTTGCACTCGATCAGGGTCAGTTGAGACACGAAGCGTTTTCGCGTTAGGTATACAATTACAAAATCCGCCCACGTTACATAAAGCACAGAAACGTGCAATGCGGGTCGAATTGCGTATCGAAAATCGAGCGCGTATGAGTGCAACGGTACCTTGTAAAATTTACCAAGCACATACTGCACGCATGTGTATAAGGACTCGCCATTTAAACATTACCGGACTCTCGGTCAAGGATTTCATGTCAGCAATGCTTCTATTTAAATCAATCGTAAACGCTCATTCACTGCTGTTGAAGATTTCGGAGCGTGTTGTGATTTCAAAACAAAGTGATTTTCAAGTAAATAAATATTGCATTACTTGCAGTTTTTACATAATTAATTATTCAACGCGTTATTATTGGCTTTTGCTTTTACAGATTCCTCGTAAATATTTCAAGATTCCAAAACAGACAACTGGATTTAGTAAACCACAATATCTCATTTTAATATTCCGTTTGCAGTAAAACTGTTAACAAAAATAGTTCAAATCGAAAAATAACACAGGATACTTCAAAACATATCAATTGCAAATGGAGGACACTAGAAAAAACTTCCGAAGTGCCCTCAAAGGTATTAAAAACAAACTCACCGGTAACATAATAGAATCTTCAAGTGCCTTCAAAATAAAGTTTCAAAACACATTATCGACACATACCAATCAAATTTCGCGAGTTAAACTGATGAAAAACGATGTGATAATAGAACGAAACAGCAGTGTGAAGCATTGTGGAGGGACGTTGCCCGTCACTACCTGTTGCAGAGGGGTTTACAGTAGAAACACTGCAGGACCCCCGGGTTCGCATTCCTGAAAGAAGGGACGGAGAGCCAGGGAGACATGCGCCGGCACGTATCGTTTAGAACCTGAAAAGGACCCTTTTAGGCCTCGCCCGTTCTGGGACCCAGATGCCTGGTCTTCCGAAAGGACGGTATTGTTCCTGATCGAAAGGAAATGCGCGCTCTCGGACCACCGTAAGGGAATGCTATGGCCACTGATAGCATACCTAACCTAACCTCAAATTCGCGTGCCGTCAGTGTAGAAACGGAGTCACTCACCTGGACAATCTATCCTTCCGCTTCGTTTGCGACGGGGCCCAGTCTCCTCTTCATTCATCGGACGCGATCTCTCACAGAAATCACCGCGCCACGCTCGTGTCAAAACACTCCGCTACACTCGCGTCACCGTGGCGCATAATGTGGCACCGTTTGAAAAGCTCGCGGTCAAAACTCGATGGAATTCGGCGTTTCCAGTCCGAGCGGAGCGGACTCGGTGTTGTACTCTATTCACACGCGAAATCAGAACGCGTACGCGGCACACACGTGGTTTCCCGTGAACCGAGGATATATGTCTGAGGACGTGACCGACGACAAGTTCGAACCAACTCCAAAACGCGAGATAAATGTGACAGAGACGCTAACCGATGTGTTGCCGTTTGACCTGTCTCTGAACTGACCAATCGCCTTGCAGGTGGTATGGTATGGTGCTTCGCGACGCGCGGTGGGGGAAGGGGCGAGAGAACAGGAGGGACAGAATCACCTGACGCGCAACCTTTTGGGGTCTGTTAAAAGATCCGTGAACCTGCAGGGGTCTGTCCACAACTGTTGGGACTTATTTGTACTTCTTGACCTGCAGTCGGTAAAGCTGCGACGTTAACGTTAGTTGGTACGTCGATACAAGAAATGCCGATGAGAGAAGGAATAGACGACATAGAATGTAAATTTTTGTCACTCGACCAGAGTACGTCATCCAACATACCAATCTCGTGTCACTTACAACCTTACCAACAGAGTACACATAAATACAAATAAATAAATAAAAAACATGTTCTTTCTTATTTCCTTGCCTCGATATTAAACTGTTTCTCGTTAGTGATAGAACTCTATTCCAGCGTTTCGTGGTTCAGCGTATTCTGAAATATCAACACTGTTAAAGTTACTTTAGTCACTAGCGAACTCTGTTCAAATAAATCTGTTAACTACCGGACTGCACAGTTTTCAAAATGATCACTTCAATCGTCATTAGTTGGATTTCAAGTAATTATTTTTGTCAGTCCTATTAATGAAATTGTATAAAATGTCAAGTATAATTAATATATAGAACTTAATGTATTAATTTATACAGTTTAGAATTTAAAAATTAGTCCTTCTAGCAGGCGTTAAAAATTCGTAAAGCTATAAGCGTGCAATACACTTTCATATGCTACTCAACAATACAATATTAGTAACATCAATTAAATAAATAAAACAATAATAATCAAGTAATCAAGTAGAGTAATAAGCCACCCTACGAAAACAATAAATTGTATATGCACGCATAAAACAACAGAAGAATAGGAAAATTGGGATACTTTTAAATACCACATATAAAATAATTATTTTTTGTAACCATCACGTGCCATAAGATACCGAGCAATCGGAAAGAGTTCTTATCTCGTGTCAAATCCGTGATATCGTTTCGTAGCACAAGTAACAAAATATCACAGGCAGACCTGAAACGGTGCTTCAAGGCTGACCCGGTATAGGTACTTATTACATCAAGTCTCGTTAAGAGATGTCCATTCACTCGTACCGCTAGATGACCAGTATGGTTCGCGCAGCTCGCGGCGGCCAGATTGGCCCCGTATCACGGTGCGGAGGTGCCAGTGAACGACCGGCAAAACTCACTAAAAAATGTGTCCAACGTATCGGTTCCATGCAATGAAACGTCGAATCGTGTATGGCCAGGTTTGATCACAATGGCAGCGCTTGTCCGTCTTAAACGTGGCAGCGTCCAGTTGAGACATGCGGCGCTTGAAATGAAAGGTAAGCGACTATAGTTTTAAAATTGTCATTTGAGTATTCTATACCAGAAAATAGTATGGTAATAACAATATTGATTGTAGTACCGTTTAAATTAGGAATCTGTTTGTTCATTGGTAATGCGTGAACATTTATCTATCTGCATATTAACAAGTTATGTATTCGTATGCATCTTATGTAAATAGAAAAGTGATTAGGTTTTTAGTCACTGAAATGAATTGAAATTACTAATTACTTATCGTAGTTTCTTAATGTTGATATATGTTCAAGATTTTCATCGTATTATGGTATGCTCCGATTTCATTATGTTATTTGAACTCTGTACATTCTCTATGTAAAATTATGTATATAGGTATTACCCCTCTAGAGTTGTACTAATATATACAGAATTTAATTAACATTTGATAGGAAACATTGCGGAATGAAAACAATAATACAAACTCTTTTTATTGCGTAATTTGTGTACTTTCAAGTCAATCGATGTTTGAAACAAATGAAATCGATCTTTTTCTTTCGGAATAATTACGATTACAAGCGTCTGAATCGCGTATTCGAATGAAAATGGATGAAAAATCGTCTTATCAACTAGTTGTTTTAAGTATCATTATTTGTATAACGTCTGAAAACACCAAAGTCGAGGCCGACTGTTGTTGCACGGGGTACAAAAGAGATAATAGGCATAGAAACAAGCGGGAACGCTGATAAGAGGGATATGCATTCGTTGATTTTGATTCTTACGTGTTCCGTGAAATGGCAGATTTCGTTAAGAGAGGTAGCGTGCAGCTAGTGAAACACAGCAGTGAACAAATAAAACAGGCTGCCAAAGAGGTCCGAGGTCCGTTGTATTAACAAACATGATGTGTTATTTAAACAGTTCATCGTGTGTGTGTTTGTATAAAATATTTTCATGTCCTGTATCATTAATATACAGTTTTATCAATCGGCAATGTTAAATCCCATTATAGCTTGTTCCACGTGGCTTCGAATTTATTTACCTAAGTACCTGTAAATGTCAAGTATTTGCAACGTTATTTGTTTCAAACTTTTCCCTTTATTTGTTACACTTATTGATGCTTTTAATTATACAAATCAATTTTTAAAAATCAATTTTTAAACACATGTTATTATTATGTTCTCTCTACTTACGTTGAGTTTAAGTTCATTGAGAGCAATTTCATAGCACCGAATGAAATGAGAAAACCTTGAAGTCTATTGTTTGACCATCTTATCAGAACAAAGTGATGTTCTATTACCAGAAATGTTTTTAGTGTCCCTATTAATTCATACACGTACGTAAAATACGTATAATTATGTTTTAGCGAATTCTATACGATACGTAACGAATACAAATGAAAATTTACGTCGTATATATAATTACGTGATTCTATGGTAATAAAATTTGAAATTTATGGTAATAAAATATTTTTATTAATTCCACAGCTGCTGTACGAGCGCGACACATCGTTGCTGCGCTTGTTGCAGTCGGATTCGCTCTTTGCGGCGCGGTGGAAGTAAGCTCTTCGGTTGCATTGCTCGCAAATCAAAAAGACAATCATGCTATCATCGACACATCGTGGCACTGCGACATGCTGGTCAATGTCAGCAGTCGGAATCGAACGGAAGACTTTGAAGTCATACTTTTGGAGGTAAATCAAATAAAATGGCATTGTCATTTAATAAATATATATACAAACTTTTGAATAAGCAATCGATAGTCAAATTCATGTAATTATCAATATCAAAAACAGAGGTAATAAAGCATTTCAAAATTAAGAACTCAAAATTCAAATTCTATAAGAGATTATTTAATAGTTTTCTTATTTTGCGATTAATGATATTTTTAAAGTATTCAGTTCCCAAAGATATTTTGGAAATAAATAGTTTAACTTGAATATTATTATCAATGCCTAAAGAAATCAAAAAAAAATATTGTTACAATATTTATAAGAGTAACATATCAACCCCAATAAATGCTCGGTAGTTCTAATGTTAATAAAAATTGATATTTGTGTGTTGTTCATGTAATTTTCTTGTTGACATTCACAGTTGCCACCAGAAGAACGCACGGAATCTATAATGAGAGAGGCATTTTTATGGGGCCAAGTTGCTGGCCCAATTCTAGGGGGATGCTTGGTTTGGGGAAGATCAGGACCGTCTATGGCGTTCTCTCGTGCCGTTCTTAGCGCCTGTTTAGCATCTTTGCTAGTGCCAGCTGCGTGGAGAGGTCCGTTTCATGTAGCGCTTCGTCTGTTTCAGGGATTATGTACAGTAAGAATTGAACATCTATATCATAAAAATCAATCGAAATACACACAGACGATCCCATAATATTTCTATCAAATTTTTCGATATTTAGAAATTCCTTTAGGAATGAATTTTATGCAAAATTTAAAAAATAATATTGGTTACTATTTCATAGGGAGCAACAATGCCTGCTGCTCACATGCTCGCGATGACCTGGTTTAAGAGCAATCATAGAAGCTGGTACTTCAGTTGTTACGCTGGTATACTATCAAAGTTACTTTTAAGTATCAAAAAATATTTATTTCGCATTCAATCATTAAGAATAATAGCCTTTCCTTAATTCTAACAATTAAGGGTAAATGTGATTGTAAGTTATTTTTAAGAATTAGTTCCATTAATTTTCAAATTATGAAAAGTTTCTTAATTGTAGAATGATGTTAATGAATTATTAATTAAGAATGTGATATATTTTTGCACAGCTGTTAGCGTTGGATACTGCCTAACAGGTTGGTTAGGAACAGCCGTTGTTCGAAGTTTCGGTCGAGACTCTCTTTGCTACGGTCTCGTTATCATTGCACTTTGTTGGTACTTCGCTTTCGGTCGATTCGTTAAGGACACTCCCAAGTCTTACCAGCACGATACAAATGTAAATTATTTGATTTAACAATGAAGCTTCTGAAATTGAGTCATCGTATTCAAATAGAAAATGAATAATAAAATAGGCAGCTGTCATCCCATGGGGTAAGTTGCTGCGTTCAGTACCGGTTTGGGCGTCCGCAGTGGCAACTATGGGTAACCAATGGGGAGATGCAACTCTGGCTCTTGGTATGACGAAGTACTTGAAACTGATCTATGGGTTTTCTACAGCCAATGTAAGTTATCAAGTTGTTAAACAGTTATGGATCGAATATTACCATTTAAATGTTTATTTCTGCGATGTTTATTATTTCTATCATTACAATTATACAATAAAAGACCATTTTTATTTGCAATATTTACAATATTTGCGATATTTTTAGGATTCTGTTCTGACGACGTTACCCCATATTGGTCATTTCATGGCAGCTCTAACATGCGGTTTACTCGTGGATCACGTTCGCGAATCTAAAATAGTTTCCACGACCACTGCAAGAAAGTTGGTCGTTTACACTGGTACGTAAGCCGCTAATTTCATTCATAAAGAAATAAATAAATAAATCATTTATTTGCTACGCTACAATCAATCATTGCTTTTAATTCATTTCCAGCTCATTTCATCCCAGCAGCTTTACTTTTCGTCGCCGGTTATGCCGGTTGCCAAGCCTTAGGTGCAGCATGGCTGGGTATTGCCGCTCTCCTCGTTTCTGGGACTGCACCAGCAGGTGCACTGGCTGCAATAGCAGATCTGGCGCCTGTAGAGTCTCCTGCCTGTGCAGCAGCAGCGTGTGCATTATGCTCTACTCTAGGAGCAGCGGGATTGCTAGCTGCTAATTACTTTGTTACTCAGGCACTTCATGGCTCTGTAAGCGATTCTCTTTAATTCAGAACTAAAATTTGGTTATATTATAAAACTATTTAGTTATGTTATAAATTAAATATTAAATATTGAAATTAAACATTGAATATTAAAATGAAAAATAAAACATTAAAATTAAACATTATTTATTGAACTAAAAATTACTATTAATATTTGAACGAGACTTCAAACGATCCGCATAATTACTATTCACTCGATACACTGAATATTTTAGTGAGACATCATAAATTGTATGATTTTTATTTGTATTTACATAAAAGTTTGTGTTATAAATTATCTGTTATCTATTGTGCCATTATATATTATCTGTCATAAATTTCCTTTTCAGATCGCAGGCTCGTGGCGACTAGTTTTCGGCGTCGCTTCTGTCGTTTTGTTGTCGACCGCTGCAGTCTTCCTGGCTCTCGGGAAAGGCACCCCGCAGCCATGGATTCCTTCCGTCGCTCGGCCGCGAAGTCACGACGCGATTTATGAGCAGGAATCCTCCGAACTCGACTACGAGGATGCGGCCGTGCAAACGGAACCATTCAGTCCTTTCCCGGCGGAAGACGACGTCGAAAGTGTAAAGAATGCGCCACCGACCGCTCAAAACTCTCGTTAACTTCCAATTAAATTCATGCTCGTTATTAAAAATCCTTTTACTTATGGAGTACAACAGAACGTTTCGTCGTGAGAGAATATTACTGTGAGAGTGTAGCACAAATCTTTTATAATGGGAGAATATTGCTGGAAGAATGACGCGGTTGCAAATTGCACGTGTTTCCTATGACCGCAGGTTTTCTTCCTTGCAAATACTATCAATGTTTGTAATATTTTATGTATAAAATGTCTAGACCAATACGAATAAACGTGAAAGTAACTTATTGATAAAAATCTCAGTTTCTTCTAAGTCATTCTAATCTTAACATGTGAGAAATAATAAATGAGAGATGTAGAAAAATATAAGAGCTATTAAAAAAAAGATAATTAAAAACAATCTGACAATGTAATTGTCAAAAGGATTGCTAAGAGGTAACACATTTTAAAGTTACGTTCAAAGCAATGATTATTCAAAAGAGTACTCATTTCGAAGATAAAGAAAAATTAATTCTATTCAGATTAACACTCTAATTTTTCAGAGAAACACATTTGTAATCAATCTCCAAAATTTTGTACCACTTTCACGTAGTCCTACATATATTTTCTCAAAAGTGAGGGCAAAAGTCTTCTGCAAAATATGGAGAACGTATAATTCTTCTCCAACGTCGCATACGTATGATCATTACCAGAACTCGAGAATGTTATCAAGATCGGGAATCTGCTTTCTTCCGCTGTTGTTCGTATACCTTCGCATAGAGCTGCGTGGCCTGTATATTCAACGAGACAATGAACTCCTGTACTTTACGTCGACTTTCCATCACTGACGAAGAAAGTCGATGAAAATAACGTTCTAATTAGACGAGTCGTTCCTGTATTGCAAAGGCCGAAACGTACACACGCCATTGACGTAGTCGCGGGATACCGGAAACCGCCTCTTGCAAAACATATGGACACCGTCTAGTTGGCAAACACTTCTGTCTTTTAACGACAACCATTCACATGCACATCCGGCCTCCGGAGAAAGGTTGAAAGGTTGCTTGTTCTATGAACATATTCTTTCATACGGCACAACTGAAATTCTACTTTCACACGTTTAAACCTTGGATACTTTATCGAACTCGTTTTTACAATTGCGTTTCCTTTCCTCTTTCCTAATATAACTTGAATCAGTACAATTTAAGCGCTTCTTAACATTTGCATGTTTTTGTGATTATATAATTATAATTATAATTATATAATTGTACTAATATTTTTGTACAGTAAATATAAAGCAGAAGGAATATTTAGCATAAATTAGATTGACACTACATATATTGAACACTTATGACTGAATTAGACAATATTTTTATTTATTTGGTGTATTAATGATTCTATTTGATCTTGAATTAAGCAAACACTAAATTTCATTATACTAGAATAGTTACTGTTTTTCGCCGAAAATAACAGTATTCGTGTAACTCTTCATTGACAAGAGCTCACTTGTCAGTCTTTTTTCGCAGAGACGTACAGCAAGACTTTCCCGTGGCAGTGTCTCCATCCAGAGATTTGGCAAGAGACAGTCGGGGTTCTGAATACGTGGAAACCACGTGCAAAATCCCATGGTCTACGCCATCAGCGTGCCAGCCGTGCTGCAGGCAGTAGCACCTAACAAATACGAGGCACCTAACAAGTCCGTAATATCCGACTGCGAAATGTCGCAACCCGCGATGCTAATTACTCACCGCAGATATGTTATTATTCTTTCTCGGGGAGCCGGCTCTCAGAGGCTTACGAAATGAATTCTCACACCACCCTATCTACAATCTATCTCGTTTTATTCAAACGTATATATTTATATATTACACTAGTTCATATGAAGTTGTATTTACAATGAAACAAAATCTAAAAGAGGATTTTGTGTCCAGGCCAAGTACATTCAATATTATTATCGGCATTTTTAGATTCAATGATAGATGAGTGCTGACTGTAAACTAACTTGGTTAGAATAGTATAAAATTTCAGCAAACTTTCTTATTTCATTTTTTTCAATAATTTATTCGATTGAGTTGTTTTAATTTATTCTATTTTGAAGTATAATGTATTTGGTACATATTAGATTTCCATCGAATCTAAAGTGTCGACGGTAACGTTAAATGCACGGTGCCGTTAAACTATAGTACTTTTCTTCAGTGCTCCTATGGTGACCCTAGCGATCATCTTTGGAAAAGTCTACACTATAACGTAACGTGACACAGTGGGACGCGGCTATGTATATGCAAGATCAACGTAAGCGACCCCAAGCACTCGCTTGACCATATATACGCACATTTAATTGCTCTCACGTTGAAGGGATTTTAAAGGCAGCGACGATCTGACTCGACAGCAAAAAACGAGCGTTGCGAGATACTTGGAAAGTTGTCGTGCGGAAAATCGTTGCACGGCTAACGCAGGACATTTCCCTTTCCGAGAATGCGATTCGTTTCGCTGACGATTCAAACCGATTCCGTGAAAACCGTGCCGCTACGTTTGTCTATCAACCATATATTTCCTTGTTCCCACGACATTCCAGTGCGATGTTTCTCAGTCAGATGGAAACGATCGTCTCTGGTTTGTACTATTGGCCATTCTATGTTGGTTATTGATGCCTAAATTGCTTCTATCAACCGTTTCTTTTTGAAAAATAGAAGAAAACTTAAAGCGGATAGAGAATTCGTGTTTTCGCTTTGGCAAATATTACTCATTATTTGTATTTGAAAATAATCTCAGTGTGTGAATATTATTAGAAAAGTACTTAACCCTTGCGTTCCCTTCGCGTAACAATGGTATCCAAAGTCTATCAAGATTAAAAAAATACGATGATGCTCACTGAAATATGTAACTGCAAGTTTCCGACAGGCAAGCAAGTCTAGAATTTGATCAATGCACAAGGATTAATAGTACAATTTTTTATGTCCTTTTAATCGATCTCTTGAGTATATGAAAGAAGATTTATTTCACGATTCATGTATATAAATTCATACATATTTCACGTGAAAGTTACATAAATAGTGTGTTGTTATACTTGATTTCCATTTAACAATGTACTTTCTAAATGCGAAACTCTTGTCGTAAAAGAAATACCCTATTTCATGGAAATTATGGTATCCGATATCATCTTCTAATATATCATTAAAAGAAAAATAAATAATTCAAAAAAACGAAGAGTGAAATTTATGAAACAATCTAAATGTTATACTCCCAAATTCTTCATTCGGAATCTTCGAAATTTTTCAATGTAATAAGTTCCGTTACACACTACAAATACATACTTTGCAGTAGAACTTATTGTCAATTAGCACCGTTTCTCCACGGAGCAAACATTCCACGACGTGTACTACAAATCCGTAACTAGATACCTTGTACTATACTTTTATTGTGCCTGTCTATAAAGCTGAACTATAAACATAGTAAAGTCTCCAGTTACTTTATCCGCTATCGAACGTCAATCCATCCCGACGTCAATCCGTAAACGAGTAAAACTTCGTCCAATAAACAATGAAAAATTTATCATCGAAGTCTAGCCATTACATCTTCTTCTTCATTTCCTCCTTCTCGTCCTCCTCGTTGGTAATAATCTGAACACTTCTGATCGGTCCAGTCTTCCTGTACCTAGAAGCCGGTGTTGTCGTAGTGATCATCGGAGTAGTCATCATAGCAGGTCGTTCAGAATTAATAGCTAACTGCAGCATTCTTAGCAACAGAGCCTCCCTAATAGGCGCTGGCAAAATCTCGTCTCCATCGTCAGCAACTTCTTGAGTATAGAACTTCTGTCTATAAACTCTCTTAGGGTACCTGCCATCGTTGTATTCTTCATACTGCTGTGGTTGATAAACAGGACTCAAAGCTCTGGAATAAACAGGACGCCTGATAGGCACCCGGTCGCCATATTGGAGAGCCAGTTGAGGATCATAAGCGACGTCTGGCCTAGGAGCTGGTGCTTGGTAGCCAGGTTGATAAGAAGGATAGGGTTGCTGATCGTACAAAGCATCCTCTAAGTACGTCTTCGGGTAAGACAAAGCCTGGACACCATACTGACTAACTAGTAGCCTCCTCAGTAGCATCTGAAAGTCTCTACGACTCAGCGGAGGAGCGATAGGATTCGGTGGCTCCGGAGGCAAAGCTAGAGTGGTGCCTCTGTAAGGATATTCAGGCGTTGACTGATATTCTCTTTCGTCCATTGTTGATGTCACTGGCTGAGGAACTGGTCTCAGGACTGGTCTAGGTCTCTGATCAGGTTCTGGGTAGATCATTGGTCTCGGGAACGGCCGAGGTCGTATGTATCCTGGTGTCACAGCTACTCTAGGATCCTCTTCTTGCTCTGGCAAAGGACTTTCCGTAAGGTAATGAATATTTGCGTCGGTAGTGGTTGAATAAATTGCTTGTTGACCTGGCAGAGGACGCAGCAAGACTCTGTTGACTGGAATTTGTCTATAAGCTGGGTCGTCTTCAATGTTTGGCTGTGTTGGCAGTAAAATTCGTCCCGTTGGAAGTTCACGTAGATACTGATCAGGTTGCTGTCTGACGAAAACAGGTTCGGTGCTTTGTCGAATGAAGTCTCTGGATTCTGGTACTCGTCCTGGAATGCGAGGATCGTCTCTAGTAGCTTTTGCTTCTGCCTCGTATGCCCTGGAATTGTCATACTTGACGTTTTCGAATCTCGCTGGTCCTAGGTTTTCACGATTCACGTAGACCTTTGGTCTTTCGATCCTATTAGGCGAGACACGTTGGAGAACTCTTGGTGGTGTGGTTGTAGTAAACAGAGGACGTGTTGTTGATAGAGAACCACCGTAGACATCAGAATGATCATCGTTGCTAGTTTCAACGATTGGATTAGACTTCGTGGTTTCATCGTGCAGTTGTCTTCTTAGGGTATTCCCAGTTGTCACTTTAGTTTCTTCGTCTTTCTCCACGAAGTCGTCTGAAATTGGTCGCAGAGTTTGATCAATTGGTCTCTTAGCAAAGATGATTCTTCTGTAGTTGGAGGTCTTGTCTTCTGTGCTGGGACGGTTTATCTGGGAGTCTTCGTCTTCTAATCCTTCTTCTTCGATCACTAAAGGCCTCTGTTGGCCATTGATCACGAATCTTGGTCTACTTTTACCAGTTCCTTTTAGGTAATGACCGAATATCGATTTTGGCTGCTCGGTGGTGGTCGTTGATGTCGTTGTGGTTGAGGTGGTTGTTATTTTTCTGTTACGCGGTATGGATTGAACCACTGATGATTTAGTGGTTGGCTCTGTGGATGACGAGTAGACGATGTTTGGCTTCTTGGTCGTGGTGGTACGATTCGCACGGGGTATGCTCTGGACGACAGACACGTGTTCCTGCAATGGCGACACGGTGGTTGCTTTAAACCCTGTCCCGTTAGAGGAAGAGTACGAGACCCTTTTTATTTCACCGTCGGCGTCGACGAAGCCGAACGTACCCTTGATGTTGCCTAGAACGTCGCGACTCTCGACCTGACAATCATTTCTTGCGTTCAGACATTGTTCACTTAAGCTTTCCGTAAAGTGTGTTCTTTAGTGTAAATAATACTGTTTTTAAAACAGAATTAATTAATTTAATAAAATCTTTAAATATACTATTACAAAGAAATTATAAATTTTCTTATGGTCATCGTAAAAATCATTTTATTTTCTACTTTTTCTTATCAATTCTTTTAACATAACTTCTTCTTTCATTTTTTATGTTATATTAGGTAATATTTCCTGATTATTTATTTCTCAGATACGATTGATTTATTTGAATTTATGTATATATAATCAGAAAATCTTACTGATCCTAAAATATATGCATACATCTTTTAAAGATGTTATTTTCAAAAAGAAACAATACAATAGTTTTCCACTTCACATGTTAATAAATCTTTCTATTGAACTCAGTTACTTATTCACAGAAACCATTCATTGTTTATGTTGCAATAAGTGATTGACATATAATAGAATTGATTTTTATTATTCACGAAGTGCTTGGTTTATATTTAAACTGGGTTACGTAAACAGTGAACCGTTTGTAGGAGTATTAAGTAATAGATTACGCCCATTTCATGCCTTTTGCATGAAACGGTACAGCAGCAGCTGACTCTTACCTTGAATGATCCATCGCCCGCCTCGTAGCCGTACGTGTAAGAACCGTCTTCGTTCACTTTTCTGATCTGTTTCAAGATCGCTACCTGCTGATCGTGATGTGTCTCAGATGTTTGCTGATCCGTGACGTTTGAGCAACCAGCAGTTGCCAGACAGAAAATTGCCATTAGCCATGTTGTCATCTTAAAAGTCGGTGGTGTTGATATCTACAGGCAGATTACACGAATTTCTTAGAAAACAAGCCATTTAATTTGTCCTTTAATGAATAAAATTTTCTAGTCAAATTTTTGACTTTTTGAATGTGAAATATGAAACGTAAATTAAGATCCAATTTTTACACTGTTGTATGATATTTCCCAATCATGTTTCGTTACTTGAATAGAAAGCATTGAATTAGGTAAACATTAATTTAATGAGTAATAACTAAAAAGAACATAAATTAATTCTAAAAATTGTTAGACTGTTACGCCATTGTTAAATTTTCGTATTATAGCCATCATGTCCGTGTTACCTCTAGCATCTTCTGGTTAACTTTTTCGTTGAACATATATTAACAAATAAATTGTGTTTGTGAAACAAGTAGATGTAGTAATAATATATTAAAAATTTACAAATCACCGAAGATTTTATTAGCATGTATATATATATTCCTAACAAAATGTGAATGTTTAGATCGCGCCAACGTTTAAGTAGACGTCGACAAAGTTAGAAAATCGCAAAACAATACAGATTTAGAACACTGCCAACCACTTTGCACTATGTTTTATACAATTTCTCTGAAACATGTGACACTCGTGATCAATTAAAGAAAACACTGCCGCGAACCAGCGTTACACTAGAATAATCACAATAATCACTGAATAAGTCCCGCATAGTCTGCTTTTGTAATTGCAAATTGTTTGGTCATTTAGAATTATTCATTAGAGACAATTTCGATTGCACGGTGCAGTACACGTTGCTAAACACAAGTCGTAGGAGCTGGGAAGAGTAAGTACCTTGTAACTGGAAACCATGTTACCGCGGATGCGGTGAACGTTGTTAATATCGCGTGGGGTGCTGCTCACCGTTATATATAGAGTGACACACTAGATATCCACCACCCTTTCCACCGCGTCCTGCTACCATACTCCTGCCACACATTCAACGGTGATGACCCCTAAACGTTCATTACGAAAAAGAATAATGAGCACTCATCAAGCGTTTCTTAAACTGAATTCTATATAAACAAAAGATAATTTTCCAGTTTTTACAACAGTATTTTAATATTAATTTATTTCGGTAATAAGTAAAGGATAATTATATTATAATCGTAGTATATTTATAAATAAGAAGATTTTTATTTGAATTATGTTCATAGAAGCAAGAGAAACCTTATTTCTATAAATGTATTTATTAATTGAACAATAAGTACCAAGTAAATTATTGTTATCTTACATTTGATAATTAAATTCAGCAGCAAATTGATCGATTAATTCAATAAATCATTATATCATCATTTTCAATCCTTGGTCAATAGTTTGAACGTACCCTAATGTTTTTCTTTAGGCAATAACATTTTGAGGATCCTTTGGGTACAAGACATTTAAAGTAATATAATTGCCGTAGTGAATCGAATAATCGAATTGAATCAAAAGAAACGTTGGAAAGAGAAGAACAATTAGAGGATATTAATGATTTGTCGGTAGATAAGGATCACGATGAAAGTATACATACAACGTTGGATAAGAAAGAGCGGAAGTTTCCTTGGCAGAGATAAAGAGGAAGTAGCGACGACAGAATGGAACACGAAGTTTTGGACCAGCGGGGACACAAGTGAAAGCCACGTGGGAGTCCTCGGCCAGGCAAGAACAGTAGTAGACTGTAAAATCTGTAACAATAGTTCCCATAGTGTGCAACACTCTTATTGTGGTATTCGTTCTATTCTAGACACTCCCACAGGACAATTATTACATCATGCAATTTCCTCGGAGTTTCGTACATGGTTTTTTGATGCCACCTTGATATGCCTTCTGTTGGACCTATCGGTTGTATATCTCTTTCTCGGTGTACCTGGGGTTTCTCGCAAATGGTCGTTGCCTGCTATTTTTCTTTGCTGATTCCAACATGTTTCTTATAATTTTAAGGTGCATGCATTGCTTAACTTCGCAATTATGACTTCACTTTGTGAACAACTTCCACTTCAAATGTTAAATAATATTCGTTTGTGAATGACTGTTTGAAAGTGACTTTTTTTAATTGCAGCATTTTAATCAGAATTTTGATTTGACAATTGTACTTTCAAATTAATCTTGAAACTTAAAACTATAATTTAAAATTAAAAAATCAAAGCAATATCTCTAAAGTCATTATTTATTTAAAAAGTAGTATACATTTTATATTGGTATAATATGCATAAATATTCTTTTACTTATGAAATGTAAATGATATTTCTATAAGAATTTATGATAAACTGCGATTAATGCGCACGTAAGGAGTCAATACAATAACATATGAACAGAAGTTACTAAAATATACGAATAATTCGCACTTCCAATGTAATAAAGCAATTTTTCTTCGATTACACTAACCAAGGAAACTATGCATCTAAGTAGATTGTGTCTTAATTACAAGAGCCAAGCGGAAGAAATTAATTACCGTCATTGAATATCCATAACTATTATTTGCAGCAATGGTTTCTCAGTCAAGTAGGCGTGTAAATCCATCAATCTGAGCGCGCTTTCGAGCAAAATCTCGGCATTATGTAATTGAATTGACCAAGATAATAACAGCATGCTTGTTTCAACCGCCCGTGGAGAGATGTATATATTTAAAGAAGTATGGTTCAGAATCAGACTTTCCGGAAGAGGTTAGCGAGTACGGTGTTAATTGTAACGCAACTGTAGGCCGAACATTACCACGTATACGTTCAACCGGCACGCCTACATCATTACTAGCGAAACAACTCGCATTCTTCCTATGGGAATCAAACAATTGTATTCCGTTTTCAGTGTTTCGCAATCCCGAAAATGTTCTTCAAATTCCATGACTTTTCAGCAGGGATCCAGACGCTAATTGCGTCCATGCAAACCGCCTCGAAAATTACGAAACGGTATGAATGGATAATCTTTGGGACATAAGAGAGTACTTAGGGGCAAAGGAAAGTAGTTGTCAAACATTTCATAATTACGCTGCAGACGTTTATGCAAATTACAACTTCCAGAGATTGTTTTATGGTACCGGGAATGTAATGCACAAGTATCAATTATGTGTAAATAGTTACCATAGGATTAACGCGTTTGTTGTCAACGTCACATGTATATTTATGACATTATATTTTTATATCTTTAACACCAGGACTACTGAAAATCTCATACGATTAATATGTAATTCCTATAAAAATTGTAACAGTAGATTATTTTCAGTTTCTTCAGACATTCATTATAGTATGCAAGTGAAACTATTTATTTTGAAGATCATTTCGAATATTCAATGGTTTTAAGGTACTTATAATTGCGAAACAAAAAAATCGAAGCCAGTCATTTTGACTGTTACAGTAGTTCTAGTGTTAAAGAAAATTAAACGTTTAAAATTGAAATAATTTTATTTCATTTTTTAAAAATATATTTGATAAAATATTCTCATGAAATATGCAATCACAGAAATATACAGCTATTGAAATAAACAGTGAGAAACTTTGATTTCCTTTATGGAACTAATGTCGCGTGTAAGAATTTCCTTGAGGTGTTTCGCAAGTAAATTTTAACACTTCACGGGAAACGTACGATAAATACAATTATATTATAGTTGTAACGCTCCATGTGCACCTTGTAAAGTGTTTCCCACCCTAGATACATATTTTATCATTTCTAATGAAATATCGAGCACATTAATGAGTCATTGATGACATAGAACGCCTCGGCTATAGCACTGTTCAAACATCATTGAGTGCTCGTTACCAATTATCGGTACAGCGTATACCATATTCAGTCCGATCCGATAAAAATCAGTATAATAAATTAACTATATTCATTTTATAGGTTTTATATTTTATAGGAAAAAAGCTTATTATGGATATCTTTATTTCCATTTTGAAATAGAGCATTTATTAATCATTTTTTTTAGAAATATGAATTCATTTCCTATGTAATGTTGAGATATAGAAGTGAGTTACGCACTTACGTGACATAGCAAGAATTTTTGCGTGACTGCATTACCTCAAAAGCTTACGTAGCTGTCAGTCTACTGTCTGGTGGTTTCTCAATCATTGAATTTGCTACCTTGCAGCATTTCAGCAAGTCACGCGATAAATTGTCACTCATTTGTATTTCTTCCCATGTATGTATTATATTAATGTCTCATCGAACGTATTACATACCACGGATGCTATTGACTACGGTGAATTATGCCAGTGTGCGTTACAACGTTTGTCAGATATTTAAGGAGGAAACGAGCTTCGTTTCTTTCATCTTTAAATGAAAAGAAGGATGTTGCATCCATCGTCGTGAATTTTCACAATTTCATCCTGTGTCACGTGACTAAGCTTGATAGAGAGTCATTGTTTATCAGCCTTCATTAGGGATTTATAATTTCCTGTGTATGGAAAATTACTAATTACTCAAACCACTTCGGTTTGTCTTTAGTAGGTACATTTCTGTTGCATAAATGAAATTATAAACCCCTGTTTCCAATTTTTTTAACATACAAAATTAATAAACCTTTTTTAATATTTCCTCTAGCGGTATAAACTTTTTAACTTTCTTATTTATTTGTTTATAATAATTCACTAGAAGTGAAATGGAACGTTAATAATGGCATATAGAAATTTGGAAAGAAAAATTTGTTGTACAATGTGTAATAATAATATAGAACAATATTAATGATTCTTAAAATTGTATTTCATATAAAAATTATTGAAAGTAAGAAAAGTTTAATAAAAATCATACTTACTGACAACTGGTATCGTATGAACCTTGATTTGAAGGAAAATAAGTTATATACAACATATATTCTTCATTTCATTGTTTAATATTGATTATAAGGAATTAAGTATTTTTCATAGAATACTTTTCATTACATTTTTTTGTAAAAATTCCATAATCGTTCGTTAATCAACAATCGGTAATACAGCGCACTAGAAAGTTAGAAACAGATTTCGCTACCAAGTTGTGAACTGCTTTAACTGTGCAAAAAGATTGTCGAATAGCCCACCGTCGAGTCTGAGGTCACTGCAAACAGTGAATGAAGTTTAAGTTTATATTTTTGCTTAAAGTTGTCAGAATTATTTAATAATTTATTTTAAAAAAGAAAATCTTTATTTATCAATGAATTTTGGATAAAAGTAGAGACATATAAGTTTATATTTTAAATGGAATCTTTTAACAGTGACTATAAAAAGTTGTTACAATTAATATAACAATTAATAAATTGTCATAAAACCCAAATAAAAGTAACTCATAAGATTTAAAAGAAAACCTTTTCATTAAAAATGTATTTACATACTTTTATTGACCATAAAATATTTAAATATAGCATAATTATATCTTAATTCACTACAAACATGTATTCTTTAAGTTTTCGTTTGTATATTTATTCTGTTTTTATTTATTACACTTTCCCTACATTACATTCTTCGAAATCAATTTTCTATTTAAATAGCAAGTCGATGATTTCACGAATTTTACTGATTTATGCATATCTTTGTATGCAAATTGTATAGCAAAGTTGAACGATAACCACTGGAGGAACATTGATCACTCATGGGGCGTTGAAATTTTCTTTCACATATATATCATTCGATTTTCTTTCGCAATTACGTGTCCAATTCTAGATTAAAAAATCATTCCGCCGGCAATGGTCAACCTTATATAAAGTTGGCCTGGTTTGATTTAATACTTTAACTAGAACCTTCCGTTTTCAATCACTTTCACCGATGCAGGTATATTCCGCTTTTACCACAAAAGCGAAATTATTTATAATGAAATATATGTCCGCTTCTATGCGACAACTGTTTCCTGATCATTGTTTATTTCTAAACATCCATCTTCATTCTCCCCTCCTGTGAAATGATTTACTGGCTCACTGGAAATGATATTAATAAATTCTTTCTCTACAAAATAAATATTAATCCTAAGAAATAAAAGCTTATATTAAACATTTAATTTAAAAAGCAAAATTATCAACAACTGATTATGAAGCTTTTAATAATTGTGCTCTAAAAATAGACTGAATTAAAATACTTATACTAAAACGATTTTTGTTAATGTTTTTTTAATCTTTAATTACTTTCCAAAAATATGTACAAATTAGTGTGAGAAAGAGGTGTCATGTAATCCATATTTTGTCTAATGGTATTACAATTCTTTTCCATTACTTTCCTCGTAATTGGACGAAGAATATTACATGTGCTGTTTATGAAGCGATCAGTGCAAAGCAATTGGATAACATAAATCTCTCGTGATGTAACAAAGTGTACAGAGGAACGCAGACTTCCTTACATTTCTAATTTCTTTTTACGGAAGCGTCTGTCATGTGCATCTAACTACTGTAAAACACGAACTGTCAAAACATCATGCTGTCAAGGCAAAAAACTGATTAACCTCTTCTTTTAATAATTATACCTCTACGCTCTTCTTCCTTTAAAAAATTAATTTTTACTGCTGACTAAAATTACTTAAAACCCAAGCTGCACCATTACAAACTACACCAATTAATAATTCACTATTTTCTCTAATTAAATATTAGCAATTTAAATTCAAAATATCCTTTCACTCACTATAGCTTGAAGATAAAATTGTAATTGAAACTTTAAAAACATATTTGAATTTTAAATGAACAAGCATATTGAACATAGAAAACAAAATTCTCTCTTTTCAAAGTGTTCGTATTTAATTCTACACGTCACGTATATAAAAAAATATTCTCGTATGTTTATTGTTATGAATTCCTCCAACGGACATAAATTTACATTATAATCAATAAACTAGACTATCGTTATGTATATAAATGCGTGAAATAATTTATTACGACTACCAGGAAGAGAAAGTCCCTCGAAATGTAATGTTTACTATCGCAGAATTCCATTGTCAATTAATTAACTTGTAATTGAATTGCAAAGCAACAGAAGAGCGATGCACACATTGCGGCAAAAAGTCACGGAAGCGGTGTACTTAACATTTTCGTAGTAAGTACTTACGGTTCTCCTCGCGCTTTTACTTTCCTCTCGTTCGCGTCAGAAGTTCCGAGGAACGCCGCTGAAACGATCTCGGGTTCGTGAACGAAATGAAATAAACAATGCACACGGTGTTCATTACGATATATCTTTTTTTTCGATCACGTTTACAAATAGTATAAAAAAACAACTATAAACGTAAGAAAACGTTTTTCCTTACCGGCACAGTAATGAACGTTATAAATTGCTAGACAGCTAAATAATAATGCTAACGAAAAAGTATTTACAATGTGAATAGACAGAAGTGCGTATCGACACTTACGCACGGTACCGCCGACGAAAAAGCTACGAACTTTATCGTTACGTAATTGCCCTAGGTTAACAATTTTCATTGAACTTTGCTCTAGATTTACTGTTGTATCAATTTTCTCTTTAAACTTGCAAATGTGCCAATTCGTACTCTCCACACTTAATTACACCCAATTTCGGTTCTAGATTCACAAATGTACCAATTCTTACTCTCAAATTGCTGCTCTAGATTCGTAATCATACCAATTTTTGCTTCACAGCTGCAGTTACACCAATTCTTACTGTAAGCTCGTAATCATACCAATGTTTTACTTCCAAATTTGCAACTGTAATTACACCAACAATAGTTTTTTATTGGAATAATAATTATTCCAATTTTTCCTCTGAATTCGCAACCGTACCAATTTTCCCTTTACTTTCACAATCCCATAAATTTCTGCTGTGAATTCTCGAATCTATCATTTTTAATCAAAACACACCAAATTTACAATTATAGCAATTTCTCCTCTAAATTCGCAACCGTACCAATTTTCCCTTTACATTCGCAAACCCAGAAGTTTTCCCTCTGAATTTTTGAATCCATCAATGTTAATCGATGCACAAATTTAAAATTATACCAGTTTCTCCTCTAAATTCGCAGTCCCACAAATATTTCCTCTGAATTCTCGAATCTATCAGTTTCAATTGATACACACCAAATTATACCAATTTCTCCTCTAAATTCGCAACCGTACAAATTTTTCCTTTACATTCGCAATCCCACAAGTTTTTCCTTCGAATTCTCGAATCCATCAATGTTAATCGATACACACCAATTTCATCTTCTACCGTCGCGATTAACCCTGATCTCCACTTGAAATCTACAATTAAGCAGATTCGAGCGATCGTGTCGTCTCGAGAGTTGCCGCGTTTCATCATAGCAGATCCGTCAAGCTCCGTCTAAGCGAGCCGTCAGCAAACGGACAGGATAAATACAACGAACTTGACAATTGCCTACCGAGCGTGTATCGCGTAACAGAGAAAGCACTCACCGATAGCGTGTACTTACTAGCGGCGGAGCGAACCTTTCGATGCGTGTGAAATCTGTTTCGTGCGATCGCCGGGGTCCACGCCTTTCGATTTACGATCGCGCAGCCGATTTCCACGGCGCCCGTAAGAACGTATGTACGTGCGCGCATAGCTCGGCCTAGTCGTAGGATGTATTAGATTCGAATCGATTCTCATAGGCCGCGTCACAGGGAATGCAAATAGAAAGTTCACCCGAGCCGAATAGAATGTCCCTGCCCGGCCGACGCCACGCCAATGAAAGTTACCGTCACTTTTCTAAGGACGGTCCCGAGAGACCGATCGCACTTCGGGCGAGCTTGCAAAATTTTCCGTTGCAAAATATCGATACTATTCCGGATACCACGTTCCGTTTCGAATACCAGAAATGTATTGCTGATTTCATGCAACCACAGCGTGTTCTAAAAATCTGATACACAGTAAAGCGGAATTTAGGAAATCTTTTCGTATTATCTTCCGCGAGATTAAACCGATAATACGAAGTTTACGTGTAACCCTCGTTGGTTGATGTGTCTGTAAAAATATGAATTAATTACTTGAAAATCCGCTATGCAACAGGAAGAGATAATTCGAACCTGTATTACTTAAGTGCATTTTTTTTTGTGAGTGAACAACTAGACTTTCTGTGTACCAGTAAATATAATGCGAAGAAAAGATTTTGTTTAGAAAGTGATTTTAATAAAATTGATTTAATAAAATTGTTGATTTATCATGTTTTGTAGGTTTTCATGTCTTTCGCGTTAATTTTTAATGAATGGCGTGTCTCGCCTTTTCGGGGGAAGTATACATGGGAAATAAATTAATGTACAATATTTTCTGGAAAATGTTTCAACAAATCTTGCGCGATGCAATTTTCATTAACAAAAATGCACAATAAGAAAAATAAATAATAAATACGATTATTCGAATTGTAGGTCTCAATTCGTTTTCCATAATCGCGAGGAGTGTACGTTTTGTTCTTGTAACTTTCATTAACTTTCAGATGTTTAGTTTCTAATTAATTTTCCAGCAGCCAGTCGTTAATTAAGAAATGTCTGGGAAAGTTATCATTGCGTGATTAAAACGTACCGTCATCGTTACGACAGCAAATGTTTATCCGGTTCGATCCTACGTATTGGTGTTTTGTAATCAAATTGGACGTGGGCTGCAGGATCGTGTTTGAAACGTGCGCGTGTACAATGAATATTCGTGGTGTGAACGTGGTTGTGTTCATTCGTGTGGAATCCGTGCGGTATAGCATGTTACCGTGTGGATCGGGTGCGATGAGAAATTGCCGTGGTAATGTATCTCGCGTACGTGGCGTTGCGTCAAGTCATTGACTTTCACTCTCTAACGATAATCATTTTTAACGTAAACACTGGAAAAATGCTCTAGAAATTGCAACTGGATGCTGGAGAGCCTCGACCCTCCCAGCAAGCATGATTGCAAAATGTTTAAAACCTTAGCCTACGTTCTGATCTAAATAGCAACATTCTTCAAGAAATTTTAAGAAACTTTAAAAATTGTTTGCAACTTTAAGAAATTCTTAGAAACTATTAAAACAGCTTCTCGAATTTGAATAGATTTTATGATCAATAATTTCCGGATTTAATGCTACCGGAATAATAAATGTGATTTAAGCACCTCACGCGATCAGCAGGCTAATTTGTCAAGATTGTCATATTTATACAATTAGTTTTGAACATTTTTAGAGCTTCACACCATGACTCCTGATTCATCCCATAAGCATACATTATCCAATATAATTAAACAGAATCTAGTGTACATACTCCAACACTCAAAAATATTTAATCATACATTTTCGAATAATTATTTCAGCTCATCCAGTAAAAAAAGCAAGCCAATGCTTACCTAATGATAGTCTAACAATCGTGAGATAGTGTAATGCGATATCTTCTTCAGGATACGATTCTTCTTATCCTTCACACTTCGAATACTGCAAGCGATTAAATATTTTTTAGTGATACAGAATACCATGCAGTCATAACGCTATTCGAAAAATACTCATTTCGTTCAATAGAAATTTTTGCACTACTCAGGCGTAGCATTCGATGTCTTCGAACGTCATAAATACAGCATACGTTCTAAATCGCCATGCACATTTTAAAATAGCCAAGCAACCATCTGTAGAATCCACCATCAGCTAAACGCCGAGAGACACGACACGACTGGAGCGACAAACCGATCCCACGCCATCATAAAAGCATCCCAATAGCTCGTTAACAATACTCATAAAAAATTTTCACCGCACTGCTCGAATCCCGAGAACGCACCTCCGCAGCCATATTGGCAGCACAGTAATCTCCCTAACTAACCCCTTCCCTTATAGAATCGAGCCAGACCCGTGGCCAAAACTTTACCTTCGATTCGATAAATAACTACTACTTTTATCTGAATACCGTCAGACTTCTGCGAACGAACATTCACCCGTAAAAGAATAGAAAATTTCCTTCCCTGGCAGATAGTTAACAACAACGTGACTCAGTAGACCACTCACCAAATAAATTGCAAGGCAAGGGGTTAAAGCGTCGCCGTTCGGCGCAGCATCGTAAAGAACGGTACGAGAAAGAAAGGAAATACAGGCAGAAGAATATTACATCCCCGTGGATTTCGTAAATCGGCAAAAAAGACTCACGAGAAGGACACTAGATCAGTAACCAGCGGCGCTGGCTCGCAGGTACTGATCGATCTGACTTGCAGTTAGGGGTGAACTGGCTGCATTGGAGGACCTCGAGGGAGCTACGTAATAGAAGGACTGCGGTTGCGTCTGGGACTCGAGCAGCTGGAGCCTGTGGGACTGGGCTGGTTGTTGCTGCTGCTGTTGTTGCTGTTGCCTGCGTTGCTGCTGTGCGTACAGCTGCTGGGACTGCTGGAGTAGTTGAGCCTGTTGTTTCCTGTACAGGACCTCCTGGGGCTGGTTAACGGCGGCTGAAGGTGCCGATTGGGCGATCGGTTGCTTGTAAAGTGGTGACTGACGCTGGGGCTGTTGGGGCTGCAAGTGCTGCAGCTGTTGCAGTCCAAGGTAGGACTGTGGCTGGGCTACGAACGGTTGGAGTTTGTGACTTAGGGTGAAGTCACCCACGGTTTGGGGTAGCGTCTGATATAGTTGGGTATTGTACTGACCGGTGGAGGGATCATACACCAGCTCCGACTGGTAGATGGGGTCCGCGGCGGCTACCGGCGATTTAACCGGTTTCGGTGACTGTTGGGGCGCCGATTGCGCGTGCTTTGGCACGACCGGCACGCCGACCGTGTTCACGTAACGCTCGAGCTCGGCGGCGAAGTCTAGGTGGGACGCGCTATTCAGCGTCGTGCTGCGCAGGCCTGGAGACGCGGTCACCGCGGCGGATGGCCGGTTGTACGCTAACGAGCTACGTTCGGTGCTACTAGGGGACACGTACTGGGCAGCTACCTGTGCAACATGGGGTCTAGGGGTGATCGCTACTGACTGAGGCTTCGGGTGACGCGTGACCGGCCGGCGGGTCGTGGTTTCCAGGGTCTGATACGCTGGCGAGGCTACGGTGGGCTGGGTACGATGAACGGGGGAGGCTGTGCTTTGATACTGCGTCGTGGACGATGCCAGTCTGTAGAGGGCTGGGCTGGCAGTGGGCGACGGCTCATATAAGGCTGTAGACGGTGTCGCTTGGACGTAAGACTGTTGCTGTGGTGTTCTGTACGAGCTTGGTCGCAATTGAGATGGCTTGACATAGTCACCTTCGCCTAGCTCTTGGCTGGCATCATCGTCTAACTGATATTCCGTTTGGAAAATCGTGGTTGGAGCTCGGGTTGTTGGCTGCTGGTAGCTGGGTCTAACTTGTGCAGGTCTTGGTACTGGTCTCACTGATGGGTAGTTCGCTGGTCCATTTAAGTCATCTTCTTCTTGTTTCTCCGGTAGTTCGTCTTCTTCGTCTTTAGGGGCGTTAGGGTCGCAGGGATTGCCGGAGACGTAAGTGAATTCTCTCTTGTTGCCGTCTGGATCGATATAACCGTACTTGCCGCGTACTACGCAGTCCGTTCCGCGAGTTTCCTCTTTGAAGGAGCCGTCCGCTGCTTCATAGCCGAACGTGAAGGATCCGTCGTCGTTCACTTTGTTGTAGTTGCGGATCGTTTGAACCGGTGGCGGTTTCGACGGGTGCAGAGCGTCCTTCGATCGTGGCGAAGGAAGCGCACGGGTCCGCGGCTGGTACACCGCCGGGTTGTAATCGTCCTCAGCCGCCTGGCTGTCTTCTTCCTCGTAGTACACCTGCGGCTCCGCGATCCGCGGACGGATCTCCACTCGCTTCGCTTCTGTTAGCAGCAGAAGGCATGTCGGGATTACCTGGAAAAGGGATTGGCGATGTTAAAGTTTGATTTACTTTGTCACGATAATCACAGTGATCGGTACACTTTGCGTCACGATTCGTCTCTGTGAAACCAAGGAATTTATATGTAAGTTTAATAGCTTCGTAGTTAATTATTTGAAAGTACAATAAGTCTCCACCTATATTTAAGCAGTAGAATTAAGTTTCATTTTGATCACTTGTGCCATAAAAGTTTTTGATAGTTCCTTTTGTGGTCCTATTAATTCTAGAACTTTCATATCCTCGCCGCAAAGTTTCCACGACTAGCCGTGCACCGAACTGATTATCCTGCCATATATCCTTTCAATTGGCGCCAAATAACGCATGTAATAGTATGTTTCCTGTTATTACACGTGTCACGCCATCGTTCTAATAGTATAACCGCTGTCGCTGCGCATTTCGACACACAGTTTCACATAAGAAACACATAAGAACCATTTCCAAGTACCCTTGTGTAACGCGGTATTTTCGCATTAAGGAACACATAAAGAAAAGATTTTCCTATGATTATTATAAAAGAAACACAGAAGAAAAAAATATTATATACTAAATTAATACTACAAAATAAAACATCAACTTCAACTTTACACAACATACTTTCCATACTATTTTTCTCAGACTCAAAAATTCAAAGCAGTCAAGTTTTCTCAGTTCTTAGAACCAAATCTTGCTTTTCCCTACTAAATTATCTTCATAACACAAATTTGCATAACACAACAGCATTGAAAAATGATATCACCGTATTATGCCAACGTTTCAAAGTAGAAACATCAGTAGAATCACCCATTCTCTGTCAGACGTAAAAGAAACCTCTAAGAGGCCGAGACGTGGAGATGGAGTTACCTTTATCACGTCACACGGAGCGGTAATCGAAATAGTCCGGATTAGCGATAGAATGTCGGTAGGCCAGCCCGTTATTCTAGTTTCCAGGCACGAAACCGGATCTGCATCGGCGCGCGGTTTATAGTCAATAGGAAACAGAAGATGGCGAGGAGAGAGCGAGTTTCGCGGATCGGTGAACCCGAGTACGCGCGAATGGTATGCGCGGCTCTAAATTCCTTATCGCTCGCCCAGAACCAGGCCTAGCGTTCGCGAACGTGCGAACGCACACACAGCTGCCACACCGCGCCGCCGGAGCAGACGGACCAAGGAAGGAAAGTGTTATGCACCGGTGAAATGGCCGCGATCCACGGGTTTGCCGGCACCTCGGGGCGAAGGCCCGTTACCAAGAAAAATAACGGTGTAACAAAAGTGAAATACTTATTGCTTTATTATGTAAACCCGGCGGAAGCGCAGTGAACATTTCAGAATGCGGTTGTCCGAGTGCGGCTCATGAAAATCGCGCTAGGACCAGTGTCAATGTTAAGTGCCTTTTTTTCGTGTCAGAATGGACAACAAAATTGGGGGGGAGAGTTATAGGTGGACTGGAAATTCTTCTTTATAGCGAGCTTGAAAGTGGAAAATTAAATTAAGTGGGTTTGATAGGAGAAATGTGTCGAATGTACACAGTGTTTGTTGCAATATTTGTTATGGAAACCGTTTACTGTTGTAATTATTTTTCCTTATAGCAATGATACTTTTTATCTGAATCAAAAATAAAAGAAAATGATTACATTTTTGTTTATTCAGTTGTGAAACCATGGGAAAATGGAAGAAGGAAAGATCGAGTATTATTCGTTCATAAGAGACTTCGTTTTTTAGATAATGGACTTTGAAAGGTTGGTACTCGTGCGTTAGTGTTTATGAGATGTAGAAATAGTAAGTTATGAACAGACGCGGTGGACGATTCACATGCGGCTCACGCTCTCGTACGCTATTATTTCGAAAGAAAGTAACGCATGAAAAATGTATGCCTTGGACTAATTTTTTTTCTTGCAGAATTGTCACTTGTATAGTGCGGCGTAATGTTAATGTAAGATACACAAAGATTTAATGAGTTAGTAGACTTCTCGCGCACGACGTAAAAGTAAAAGAGAAACGTACGTACTTGAAACGACAGAAACCGCACTCGTTGCAGTGAAACTCAAGAGAAGAAAAGCACGACGTCCTTGTAACATTAGTTCCGGATATTTTTACAGCGTAACGAACATTACGTTTACGAGGAAAAATAAATGAATTACGAGCCTTAAACCTACATACATAACACACCTATTGTACATCTCGACACAAGTAAATTGAACTTTAACATTATCGAACCATTCATTTTCTCTTTTACATCAATCAAAACAATATAAAAATCATTGACATTAAGAATACTATATAAACCAAGAAATTATAAATTCTATAATACGAAAGACAATTCAAAAACTGTTTTACAAAGAGTTTATTAGTATTAACTAACGAACATTTCCTCCAAAATATCCTTCTAAAATAACAAACCATTTCTCTCTAACTTTCCTAAAAAATTCCAGAAAAATGAAAAAATCCTAACACACTAACAACAACGTTTTCCAAGACCACAATACCGGCAGTGGATAAACGGCTGCGCCGTGACATATTTAACGCCGCTCGCCTGAGAATTTGCATATCTGCATTCTCATTTCCATATCGTCTGCCGATAGGCAGATGTTTCCTTGTAATACTTTCCTCGTCCCCGGCCGATTCATCCTTGGGAGGATTTTCCTATTATGATCAGGATTTCCCATGCCCGACGGGCTGACCGTATGTCCTTACAGCCGAGAGACGTGCTCCCCGACTTCCGGTAGAGCGACTCTCAGTGGGAACCGCCCCGGCGCACACGTGTTACGTAATTCTTACTACTCGGTTGACCCGAATACGGGGCGAGGCAGGATTATGGCGGCGTGGTAACCGTGAGAGATTCAGATTCAGAGCGTCGTAACTCGCCGGTGTGTTTCGCTTAGCCACGACGCCACGCCATGCCACGCCGAGCCGAGCCGAGCCGAGCCGTGCTGCGCAGGCAGCCACGCCACCACCGTCGCTTCTGGATCTCCTTGAACCGAGCCGAGAGCAAATGCTCGCACAAAAGACAACCACCACACCACGCCTCGCGACGACCCACAGGAAACGATCCCGACACTGTCACTTTTCACGTCGGTTCGCGCAGCAAGCAAAACAGAAAATAAATTGATCCGCGTGGATACGGATTTCGCTCGCGTGAAATCTTGACAAGACGTTGGAAATGAGTATTTTTTTCTGTGGTATTTGCATGCAAAATGTTGCAAGCGAAGAGATTAAGTTTTTGTAAATGTTTCGTTTGTGAATGGCTGGTGATCTAAGATTTTACATCAAATCTGAGATAAACAAGTGGGTTGCTAATATTTGTTTAATGGTAAAGAAGATTTAGCCTTTTCTGGAAAGGTTAATGTTTGAAGAATTTTTAGTTTTAATTTGTTAGATGGTAGTTTGAGATAATTGAATCGCATTCAGCTGGTTTAATGCGAATTTGGTTGCGAGAAGGATGATTAATGGATAAAGTTTTTCAATAGCTTCGATATGGAGTAAAAGTACCGTTTTATCTGCTGCGCCGTATTTCACTCCCACTGTTAATGTAATTCCGCTTGTTACGGTAATTATAAAGCATGCTTCTCTGAACTCAATTCCTTCGTTAAAATCACTGCACGTTCGTCGACTTACAGGAAACACTGTCATTTCAACTATCACTTTCAATGGTTACGCAGACTCTGGAGCAGCAATAACAGAGGTTTCCGTTAGCTCTACCTGTCATGCATCTTGATTTATTCTTCTGTTTTGCCAAACGACATCGTTGACCTTTATTGTACGATAAGAACATTAAAATTCTCTCTCCCTTTTTCTTTTATGATTATTTAATCGCACAAAAAATTAATAATTATTTTTCCCTTAAAGAAAAGTGAAATCTTTCAATCTTTCATCATTCGATTAACACGTTGCTATAAGAGTAGAATAACGTCTGAGCACAGCAACCGTAACTGATTAATTAGAAATACTACAATTACAAAGGAAGTAACAATCAAATACTCATTCCTTTTCCTTCCAACCTTCCATTAGTTCTCCTTTTAATTACCAATATCTCTAAAATTGTTTATACAATTAGACTTAATAACGGATTAGCAAGAACACTTATAAGTACCTTCATATTTAATAATACACTTCTAATACTTCCATTAAGTTTTATTCTTCTCCTCTGCATCCTTTTGCTTCATATTTCTTTTTCACTAATCTAGCAATAAATTTTTTCTTTTCCAATGAAAATGAAATAGTAATATTATAAATGTGAATTTCTATTCATCCCTGTGTTTCGTCGTTACGAGTTACCATTTTCAAATGCCATAATCTGTTTTATCCAGCTTTCGAACTTCCTTAAGTGGAACGAGGTGCAACGCGCGAAAAAAGCCGGCCATCATTTTTCATGCTCGACGCGTGTTCATATATTATTGCCCATGTAACACGGATTCCACGTGTCTGCCGCGGTTCTATCAAGTTTCCGTCCCGGAGAAACGTATCGGTTTGTACAATTGCGCCGATGGCTTGTTTTGGTATGCCGCGGTATATAGAGCCGGGCGTAGAACCGACGTAAGAGAAAATTCTTGCATGAAAGCCTTCGCTAGAAGGCGCACGGCTTCGAGAAGCCTACGGAAACCGACTGCGCTTTAATTAGGCTCCTCTATTTCGTATGCATACCAGAAAGGTTACGTTTATCAAGTAACAGACGTGAACGGAAGCAATTCTTCGACTTGAAATTCTCTTTCCCTTTTTCTTTCGTTCGAGAACGCGCGAATGCAACGCGCGGACTTCTAGCATTTGATCTACGGATATAGATTCTGTTTATTTCTTCTGGAAATTTATAAATGTTACGGGTTTATAAAATAAAGGTAAACAAGTTGGATGATAAATCTTTTTCTTGGAAACGGAAACTGAAGAAAGGATAAAATTTAAAAAATTGATAATTCGAACAATATCGGAATTGAGATATAAAGTTAAATGAACGAAAGAAAACGCAGGATTCTAAATCAAATTTCAAAACCGGCCATTTGGCATT